TTTATACGTTCCTGCACAAATTGAACCTCTCTTTCATATGAAAACAGATTTCAGCTCCTGCTGTCTGTCCCCAGAAACCTGATATAACACAAGACAACAACATAATAATAAATATTATTTAAGTGTCAGTAGATGATAGATCTCAACATTTCTTTATTTTTAATTAAACATTGATTCTGTTCAACTTGGGATCATCAAGTTTGATTAATGTGTCTTATTTATTAACTCGATATTAAATCAAACACTTTTCACACAATTATTATCTCCTGATTTGGTGAACGTTGTGTTTGTTTGTCGTACTCTTCAGGAGGAAAAACCAGGACAGTCAGCATTTAATGAAACTTAACTTTATTAAACTAACTGTGTCCTGCACATCCTGGACACGACAGGCCGATTATTTTTCAAAACTGTGTCAAGAAGCCTTCTTTTTGGAATCAAGACGTCATCACTGGAATCCTGTCTGCAGTAAAACGAGTGGTCAGGATGTAGAAGTCCTTGAGTCATACAAGGACTTGGGCACTATTGTTGCTGTGTCATAAAAGCCAGAAGCGCCTTTTTTTGTCTCAGGAAGCCGGTGAAACTCGCCGCTGAAAGGCGCCTGATGACAGAAACGTTAGCGAGACCCTCTCTCTTGTATCTGTTGGCTTGCTCCTCTCAGTCTTCACAGGTCCTCGACAGAAAAGTCTGTCTGATCAATAAAGCAAACAGCTGCTAAAGAAAGCAGATTCAGAGTTTCAGACGCTGCCTTCAGGTTCCCAAAACCATCAGAAACAAACACTCGACACGCCGACCACGCTGGTAAATCTCACCTTTATTTTAGCTGGATGAGGCAGCTGAAATATCTGACTCATGGTTTTCATAGTTTGTGCACAACATGTGACTTAGTGATTTAGCAGGCTGTTACCTCCAGGTTTGTTCTTTGTGCTGAGAGGCTCTCGCACGCTTTCAGGCTGTTAAGCTGTTGAACCAGCAGCAGACCGGTGGATTTACAGGCCGGTGACGTCGAGTGGATGATTACAGAGCTACAGCGGTCAGGACACGTGTAGGCCAGTACTCACATATATTCTGTGTTTTCACTTCCTGTTTGATATTGTGTGTGTGTTTTGTAGTTTCTGCGTGTTAAACCAACTCTGAGGATAAACTCTGCTCTGCTTGAATGCCTGATAATTTTCTTCCTCTCTGTAATGAACCAGCTCCACCTGAACCGGACCAGCGTCTGAGCTGTATTTCCAAATTAAAAACAACTAAATTATCCTTTATTTAAACAGGAAATGTCCCATTGAGTCCTGTATAAACGTCCTCTTCACTTGGGTCGCACTCTTTAAAATTAAAGTAGCTTACCTTTTTCTTCTGTTCCTGTAGAAGTAAATAATAATCCAGGACTTCGCTTCAGGGCCGTCACATCTCTGAGTGTGTGTTTCAGTCAGTCCAGGTCTGGACCCGGTCGCCGCTCAGTCGCTGTCCTGGTTTTGTCCTCTGCTCTGTTAGAAGGGTTCTACTGGGTTCTGCTCCCTGTGGTTCTGTTCTGACTCTACTGGTTTTCTACTGGTCTCCTCTCGCTCCTCGTTGAGCTCTGGGAGCTCTGCTTTCCTGTTTGTTTTATTTTCTAGCTGCAGCAGGAAATGGTCATCTTTTCCTCTTCCTCCCCCCACCGACCCCCCGCACACGCACACACACACACACACACACACACACCCTGGACTTCATGATTGGTCGGGTTGCCGGCGCCACAACAGCAGCGCCCCCCGGTGGTTTGCTGCCTGGCTCAAAGGCACCTCAACAGCGTCTGTGCTCTCTCTGCTGCATGTAAACCAAGGACACACACAGACACACCATCAACCTGACGAAAAACCCAACAGCCAACAAACTCAGTAACACCTGGAGTTCTGCAGGTAGACGACCCGACAAATCCCACGAGAACGCCACCTGCAAAACAAACATGGCTGCCAACCAGCAGCTTGAACTGTTAGCAGCGCTTTAAAGACTGAACTGATACAGAACTCTTCTGAGTCCTTTCTTTTACCTCATCTCGTGTTGTTGGAGGGTTAATCTAAACCGCCTCTTTCTGCTTGTCCTTTATCTTTGAATGACACAATAGCAGGAAAAAATATGTTTTTTATCAGAAGGTTCAGATCCGTCTTTCAGAAAGTCACCATTTCATACGTCATCCATCACCGGGGAGGGTTCATCACAAATATCTGATGGGGAAAAGTTTGTTTCAAACATCTCCATCACTGAAATGACATTTATATAAAGTCTCTTTCTGTGGACGTGATTGTGGAACAACCCTGAACTTGTTTTGGAGCTGTTCCAATACTGTTATCTTTAGGAAAGATCTGAAAAAGTCTAAATATGTTAGTTTGCAAAGACGTCTTATTTGGTGTTTCTGACATCTGCAGCTCAAACAAAACATTTTTCTTTAGCAAAATGTCACATTCACAAAAGAAAAATGTTCACCAATAAAATGCAACAGCACAAAGAAACTCAACACTCTGCAAACCCCAGAACTCTTCAGACTCTTTTAGTATTTATGTTATTTTCACTGCTTAACCTTTTCCTGGCCTCAGCTGCTCAGACGGAGTTTCTTTAAGTTCCCATGACAGTAACAAGTTTCAGTCTCCGGCTTCTTACATTTCATGTATTTTTATTTATGTTAAAGTCTCTTTCCCTTCCATGTAAAGTGTCTCTCAGGGTGAAGCCTGTATACGATTTCCCTCCATTAAAATGTGATGATGGATTTCGGGGTCATATAAAACCTGCAGCTCTGCTCTCTCACGGCCCGGGAGGCATTTCCTTTGTTGGACATAAAAAATAAATGAAGACGAATCATCCAACTGTCTGTTTGAAATATGACCAAAATGCATTTGTTTGTGCTAAAAGTTAAAATGTTAAATAAATAAAAAAAATTTGCTGGTTTTATTCTTTTACAGCACTTTCACTTCCCTTTTTGTCATTAATGCTTTAATTTCAGGGGTTGAAGAGTCGTTTCTGTGGACGTAGAAAATTTTGTCATTTTACTTAGTGTAAAAAGAAAAGTTGCAGTAAAGAAAATCTGTATGGCGGCCCAAATCGAAGAAATAAATATTAAATGTAAATAAATAAATGTCCATTTATTTCTTCTTACATTAAATAATTGATTGATGTACTTATTTGATCCTTTTTTTTCAAAATATGAATGTATTGATCTATTTTCAATCCATGGAGAACATTTATTTTTTCATTTTGGTCTTTCCTTCCTGTGGCCCCCCATATAAGGGCTCTACATGGTGAAGTATTAATTTACACACATTTGAATAAAATGGCAGACAGTAAATGGACTGTATAATAAGGAAGTATAATTCATCCTCACAGCAGAATTTGGAGCTCTGTGATTGGCTGTTTTATCAGTGAAATGCACCTTGGGAACAGGCTTCTTGTAGCTTAAATTTTTTATGAAAGGGGCAGATCTTTTCCAACAGATCAGAGAAGTGAAGCGCTGTATTGATCTTAGATGATGATCTGTCGCCTTCGATGGCACAAAGCTGAACTGCAGGATCGCTCAGTCGGGCTGGGTATTGAGTAAGTGTTCAATAGAGAGCCTAAGTCACTCACTTATTACCTTATTTTGAAAAAAATATGTACAGTAGTCAACGACGAGAGACAACTTTTCTTTTTATCCCGTTAGAATTGAACCCTGAATTACACAGATGATGTTGGTCAATTTAAAATATAATTTTGCAAGTTAAGAAAGTCGCAGTTTGTTGTGAAACAGTAAAGTTACATGTCGTTTTGTGTGAAACCGCTCAATGAACTACATCTCTCATCTCGCACAATATACGTCCCCAACATGTTAGCGCGGTAAAGCTAGCTAACGTTCATTGCTTTCTTGCTCCTAGCTAGATAATGTAGTTATGTTTGACGCAGAAATATATCTCCCCTGATGTGTTTAATCCAACGACTCCTGGCTCTCTTATCACATCATCCTCTCATGTAAGTGTTTTGATGTTAGCTTCAGTCACTGACAGAGAAAGTTACAACGTCACATAAGCGGCTTTTGGGTTTGTGGTTTTTGTATTATGTATTTTCAGTCTTATATCTCAACAGTTTTACATGAAACTACAACCTTCTTTAATTTAAAATGTATCTTAAATCGACAAAGATCAGATGTGTAATAAGGGGAGCTTGCTTCAGAAAAAATATTTTACGGTAGTCAATGGCAGGAGACAACAAATATTTTGATCCCGTTTGAATTGTGCTTTGAATTAAACACATGGTGATGGTCAATTTAAAATGTAGTCAAGAAAGTCACAGTTTGATGTAAAACTGTTGAGGTATCAGACTGTGAAAATACATAATTACAAAGACCACAAACCCAAAAGTCGCGGATGTGACCTCGTAACTTTTTCTCTCAATGACTGAAGCTAACGTTACTGAAGCTAACGTCAAAGAGCTCACATGACAGGTGATAAAAGGACAGACAGTCGTTGGATTAAACACATCAGGTGAGATAAATTTCTTCATGGAACGTAGCTAAGTTATCTTGCTTGCAGCAACCAAGCAATGAACGTTAGCTTAGCATTACCACGTTAACATGTTGGTGTCGCATATTGCGTGAGACGAGAGATGTAGTTCATTGAATGGTATTCACACAAAGCGACATGTAATTTTACTGTTTTACAACAAACTGCAACTTTCTTGATTTGCAAAATTACATTTTAAATTGATCAACATCATGTGTGTATTTCAGGGCTCAATTATAACAGAATAAAAAGATAAGTTGTCTCTCACCGTTGACTACCGTACATTTTCCAAAATAAGGTCCCATGGGCCGGATTCAGAAGCGAGTGACTTAGGCTCTCTATATTATAGTTATAAAACTTTTTGTGAAATACTTGAAATTGTTAAGACTCAGCTTGTTACCACGAAATGATAATCCTCCTTTGTTTTCATGGTAACTGAATTTAATTGGATGACATGTTTATTTCAAAATATTTTTTTCATTGTTTTTCTTTCACTTTTATTTCATGTCAAGTTTTAATCATCAAATGAAAAATGTTAATGAAATAAACGTTGTTTTAATATTAATTATTTAACAAAGTAAAAAAGTAAAACAATAAAAACAACCAGTTCAAAGATTCACAAATTTTATTCTGACTGATGAATCATACATAAGAACCTTAAAATCACACAACAACACTGACAATTCAAGAGTCAATAAGTGATCCATAATAGAAAGCCATGACTAAATCTATAAATACTTCAGTAGATCACCTGTGTAGGAATGATTGAAACAGCAGCTTCACCAATACAAGAGCTGACACTTCACAGAGGAAGAATAAAAATAATATTAATCAGATGTGGTTTGAAAAGCCAACTAAACCCAGAGGAAAACATTTATTAAAAGGAAATCCCTTAATTTTACCCAAATACAGAATCACAAAAGCATTCTCACTCCCAACATAGATTCTTTTTAGTTACGTAGCGTAGCTTTACATAAGTTAACTGACATAAGTAACGTGGTTGTTTTAACCCAAACCACAATCTTTTCCAAAATCTAACCAAATTGTGACGTTTCACAACGTTAACCACTAGTTTTATTTTGAAAGTCTAACTGAACGTTGCATATTTATTCTTGCTAACTTGACTGTGGAGCCCAACTCGTTAAAAAACAACGCCAATGTCCATATGTGACAAGTTGGGAGCGAGAATGTGTTATCAAATAATGATCAAAAAAATTAATAAAATAATAATAATAATGAATATTTTTATTTATTTAATCAGTTTCATTTAGAAGGGACAGTGCACGGTAATAAAACACTGAAGAAAATCAGCCAAAAGACTATTCTTCATCTGTAGTCCCTGGACAGTTGTTACATAGTCAACCTAAAATGAAATTATTTAATTAATTAATAATTCAAGTCAAAATTATGAGAGGGTCCACCATAATTTAGATAAAAGATGTAAATTATTCAGAAGCGTTGATTTTTTCGTTGATAAACTTTGTCAAAGTCTAAACTCAGTAACAAACAAGCAGTGAGGGTGAAGCGCCCGAAGATGTTTACCATGTTCACTATATTAGTTTAGCATGTTAGCATGCCAACATTAGCTCATTAGCAGTAAACACAGCTGAAGCTGATGGGAATGTCATTAGTCCTGAAGGTATTCGTAAATAAAATGTTGGACACTGATGGTGGCGCTAGACGGAAAGTCAGAGGATCAACAAAGTTATTACAGTTCATCCTGATACACTTCAGTCTGGACTTTTAGAGCTAAAACACATCAGTGAGTCACATGTGGATTCTGAAAGTAGTACCCAATAAATGCACTTCCGCCTGTTTGTTTGGTAGACACTTCAATGAACCACTGTTTTAGGAAATTACTGAGCCTTTTTTGGACAAAGAACAAAATTGCAAAACATCACCAGAGTTCCCTTTAATGACCCGCCTCGACAGACGCAGACTCCAAAAAAGATAGCTCATCTGGATTTCAAAGCAACTGCCTCCTTTCACTGGAGAGAAAGAAAGAAAAACAGAATAATACAGGTTTATTGTGTAAAATAAGTCAAGTCAGTATTTATACAGCTCAATAACACAGATTTGCCTCAGTGGACTTTACAGTCTGTCTAGCATCAGACACCTTTATCCTTACATCCTTGATTCACATAAGGAACCCCCTAAATAACAACTGACAACACATGCTGTGTGAGATTTTCAACTCAAGCGTGAAATTGGTGTGGCACTTTGTCGCGATAGTCTTCATATTTATATGGAGAAAATTAAGCGAGGAAGGACAAATGTGTCTGTTACTTGATTCCAGCTATCGCGGTACTTTCCTATGAAAGTTAGCATTACCCTGATCGAAACAAGCATTTTAAAAGTTGTAAGCTTGTCATCTTGCTGACAGACCTGACAAAGCATGATTTCATATTTAAACAATTCTGCATCATGATGTCGTTATTTCAGCATCAGTTTGATCAGTTTTTTGCAACTAAATCAGAGTCCGGCGGTCAAACTCCTAACAATCAGGAAGAGGAAGTTTCAGTTCAGATCTCCACATTAAAACCAGTGAAGTACAAACACAAAGTATCGCTCATCACATCGATGCCACTTTCAGCAGATTAGTAAAGAACAAAGCACGTCTGCCGCTGAAGACTGAAACTCTTCCTTCACGAGGGGTTATGCGCAGGCTGCTTACCTGTCGGGAGGTGGACTCTGAGACCGTCTGCAGCGCTGTATGATGGCGACGACGACGAGGGCCACAAGCGCCAAGATGGAAATGGCCAGAATAACAAAGGTAGGGGCTGAACAACAGGAGAGAGAGAAGATAAAGGTTTGATGCATCAAAGACGAAACATCCTGTGTCCATCCCTTCTGTGTAGTTGGTTTGAATGCTGACATGTAGAGGACGGACATTTGTTGAATTCATCGTTTTTATTTCAGTCAGGACAACTTTTCTCAGAGACTGATATTGCAGCATTGTAGTTATATTGGCGGTGTGGCTCTGCCCTTCCACGTGCCTGTGTGGAAAGCTATACGGCAGGAAGAGAACCTGCCTGCCCGTCCATACGCATACATGGAAAGCCAGAGGCAGAGAGCAGTAGTACAGAGACCCTGTACAGACCAGAGCAGGCATGCTGAATTACGTAATGATCACTTAAAGCACTGAAACACTGTGTTAAACGGGCCCTGGGCTGAAGACCGTTACTTGTCAGGCCTCTGCACACATTTGGGCTCAACAAGGTTATTATAGTTTGGGATTTTTCATTATTGTTTGTATGAATTTTTTTGTATGAATGGGTGAATGTGATGTAGTGTAAAAGTGCTTTAAGTGGTCGGAAGACTAGAAAGGTACTACACAAATACAGACCATTTAACATTTTAAGTTTCTTTTAAGTAAGTAAGTGTTTTTATGATAATACCTGTAGCATCACTGGGGACAGAAGGTTAAAACAACAACAATTCTAATTTACATTTAAAATTGAATGAAAAGCACATGCAAGTAAATATGACAAACTATAAACTGTAAATATAGTTACCTGTCTCTTCAGAAACAGTGTCTGTAGAATCTGACAACAGGTTAAAATGTTATTTAGAGTCGTATGATACAGGAATATTTGCACATGAAAAAGCTGCTCTCAAACTTAACATATAATACAAAAAAGTCACAAAGGTTTTGTCATTGTTGCAACAACAAGCTGTTTTACGACACACAGCAATAAAATATGTTTTGTTTATACTAATGATCCCTGTAGAATCACCGGTGACAGAAGGTGAGGTGTCTGGTTGAAATGAACAATTCTAATGTTTATATTTAGAATGAATTAGACACATATGCAAGTAAATATAACATACAGTAAATATAGTTACCTGTTTCCGTAGATTCAGGTTCTTCTGTCGTCTCTGTAGGAACAGTGGCTGTTGAATCTGGCAACAGGTTAAAATGTTATTTAGAGTCGTAGAGTTGATGAGATAGTTTTAAAAGTGAACATAATGTTGGCAACACAGATGTGTTATTATCTTTCTCCACAGCAGGTTGATTGGTTGTAGCAACTGCTTTAAAATATACAGAAGACTTGAGTTACTATCAAGGTTTTCCGTATCTGACTATATTTAAACAAATTATGTGCAAAGCAAATGAAAATGCACTGAACTTAAACCCCTGTCTTAAAAATAGAAATCAGTGTGTAAGAACTGAAGGCATTCTAATGTCAGAGTGCCCCAGGGCTCTATTCCTTTTTTCAGTAAGGTATGTTTAGTTTTAAGCCTGTTTGTCGCTAGCCAAAATTAATATCCCAGCTAATATCACATGTTAATGTGAATTACAGATGCATGTTGCTAACCAAGCTAGCAGGCACCACCCTCTTGTCAAAATATGGTCACGTCTGTTTCCAAAAACCAAGATGGAGTATACAGATAGAGTCTGTGGTCATATATAAATATGAAGACTGCTAAATATGCAGGTGCAAAGTTTTGTTACCTTTAACATCACCACAGAGCATTTCACACTCGTCCACAGTCGAAAAGATGTTTCCATTAGAGCCACAGCCGCTGAAGGTAAATCTCTCACACCGCTGACTCGACTGGTTGTAGAAGAATTTGGTCATGTTCAATCTGCATGCACCATACAGCATGGGCCGATAACAACGGACTGGCGGAGACAAGATGGAGGAATAAATTGATGTATTAGTAAACCTTGCACTGAAGATATTTTGATAATTTAACCAAACAGAGGGTTAAGTAGCTGTTAACCAGTTAGCTAGCGAGTTATTTGGGTCTTAACAAAATGATGTGTGTAATTACCAGTTTCTGATTTGATAATGTCACCTTTAAGTCTTATTTATGACAACGGATGTGTTTCAGTCTCTGCTCATCGACTGACAGCTGTGGGGAGCTCTAGAGGATTAACACCCGCAGTCGTAACCAGATTCTGCTCTGATACTGAGCCATTTATTGAAAGGAGGAGCTCAGAGTTAGTAATTAAAGTAAAGCGAGGAAGTTGAACTACCTGGTGAGTTCAGGATATATGTGTCTGTTACTTGATTCCAGCTATCGTTGTACTTTCCCATGACAAGTTAGCATAGCATAGCCCTGATGGATCCGACTGCCATGTCGAAAACAACCGTTTTAAAAGTTGTTTACTAGTCTTCTTGCAGACAGACCTGACAAAGCATGAATTCATACGTTGAACACAATCACAGCAAAATGTCTATTTTAGGTTCATACCGCTGTAGGTAGTGAACCAAATATTTACTCACACAACGAGTAACGCAATGCAAAAATTGTTTTTTTGTTGTATGTGAACGTGCTGTGACTGAGCTCGATCTGAATATATTTGAGAGGTCTCTTACACTTTTCATTGCAGAGGGCTTCACACCCCTCCTGGGTATCAAACGTGTTCCTGTTGGACCCGCAGCCCCCGTAGAAGCGCTCGCACCTGAAACTGGTGCTGTTGTAGAAGAATCTGGGAACCCCCGACTGACAGCTGCTGTAATTCATCAGGTCATAACAGCGAACTGGTGGCAGACGGAGAGACGGCACAGATCACTTTGTCGTGCCTTGTCAACTTGGATTTATTTTCATTTGCAGCTATTTTTCTTCAAACTATTCTGTTTTAAGGTAAATATAATTGACCATTTGCTTAGCCCCGCCCACAGTACCTGCTACTATCCTCTCAACCTTTACGTTCTCACAAGGCACATACAGAAAATAATTTTTCTACTCCCACATGCTTATGCTGTTAGCTAATAATGTGCTCCACTTGGCCTCGGAAGTAACACTGGGTTACTACTGTGAGCTAGTTGGCCAGAAAGCAAGGAAAAAAATGGTTTTAAACATTAAGCCATACTTTACAATGAATATAGGTTTGGTCTTACATCTCTCCTCAGCTACTTCATGTGCGCCTTTCTTGAGATCTGTGGAAAAGAAACATTTGCAGATTTTATCATCAGAAACAAGCTGGATTTTCCTAAAGAATTCATCATCCTCTGGGTTTCCTAATAAAAAACAAAATTGCTGTCTACAAGAGAGAAGCCTTCCTGAGGATATAACCCTGGTAAACTTTAAAAAAACACAGGGCAACAAACGGGGAACAAAAACTCTCTATAGTCACTTCAAACCTTTTTATGCTAATTAACTGTAGCTGTTCATAAATAATTGAAAATATTCAAAAATGCCCTCTCTTACGATTCCCTTTAAAGGAGACCTGTTATGCTTTTCCATATTTTATGACATCTACAATGTTATAATGTTGGATGTTCATGTTAAATATGGTCAAAGATTCAAAAATGAGGTAGGTAGGAAACATATTTCAGCCAGTCGTGTGGTTCCACTGATGTAAGGGTCTGTGTTGCATGCGTAGTAGAAGTATAACCGGTCGGGAAAAACGCTTTTTAAACCTTAGTTTGGGGCAAAGTTGTCAAACTTTTTCTGCCATTTTTATCAGATTTTACTGCTGATTCTATTCATGTAGTTTTTATGTCCGGGTGACCAGTGAAAGTGCAGCTCTGGCTCTCTCGCCATTCACTCAGACAGGAGCCTGGTCTTGTTAGTCCGAAAAAGCTGCCCGGAGACGTTGCCAAGATGGCGGCCGAGAGGCATGACTTGTCTAGAAGGACTTCAGCAACGGCTCTGTCTGCCTGTTCCGCCCAGCGACAACAACAGCCTGGTAACATGGTTCAGGTCTTGGCCAGTCAGAAGACAGTGGGCTTTGAGAGGGGGGGCCTTAAAGAGACAGGAGCATTTGCAGCTTGTTTCAGACAGAGGCTGAAATGAAGGCCTACATGAAGAGACAGTGTAAGAAAACTACAATATATGACTGGAAAAGCAGATTAGTAGGTCTGCTTTAAAGAATTCACTATGATCTGACAGCAGCACACTGGATTCTGTGACCTGCAGCACAGCAAAACCCATCTGATGGCTCTGTAGCGCCCCCTCCTGAGGAGAAGGTCTGCTTTAACTCTCAGATCTTCTAAATCCGGACTTAAGACATTACTTTTTGCCTTTTCATTTTATTAAACTCAATTTGGGACAGTTTATTTCATACTCAAATCCATTTAGGTCATTTTGCTCTTTGTAAATACTCTTAATGTGTCATTTTGTATTTCCTTGTGTTTCTTGTCTTATTGATTTTCTGTCTTATGTAAAGCACTCTGCCTTGTTGTTGAGAGGTGCTGTACAAATAAACTTGCCTTGTGCAGCTGAAACTCAGCCCCCCCGGGTTTAATGAATGTCACAGAGCAGAGAGTCTGTGCCGAAAGCCCGACACCCTTTCAGCTCACTCTCAGGACAAACAGGACTGATTTAAAAAATTGTTACTGATCTTTGTCTCTAGTCATTTGATAGTTTGACTTACTGACAGAGGATTTTCTCTTTGCAGCTGTAAACAGAATACATGAATGCATCTTACCATTGCAAGTGGTGGTCTTGGGGTAAACCCTGATCTCTGCACTGGGATCTCGGGGGTATGAGTATTGGCTCTGGTTCAGGCAGTTGACCAGCAGACACTGACCTGGGCCTGTGAGAGGTCTGGCCACCACGGCCATGTGGCAGTCAGGCTCTGCAAAGCAATTCAGCCGGCAGCTCTCCCCGTCCTTACTCTCTGGCAGCCGGACCAGATTGTAGATTCCGGACACGAGGCACTGCGCTGGCTCTGGGACCTGGGCCAGACCGGGCCAGACCAGGAAACACACCACCAGCACACAGAACCAGGAACCAAACAAACCCTTCCTTGCCATGGCTTCACTCTCCCAATCTTCAGTTCAGATGAAAATGTGAACAGATTTTGTGGCTAATAACTAAAGTTTTCTAGTATTTGACTATGTGTAGAGTCTGATGACTTCTACCTGGACAGAGAGGAAACACTTTCTGGTGTGCTGGTGTTGTGTCATGAAACCTGGCCCTACCCACGTCATTGAACATTGCTGAAATATTCTGAGAGGGAGTTGTGTCTTAGTTTCCTGTTAAGAGGTTCTTATGCCTGTAGCTAAATGTTTCTAAATAGGTTGACTAACCTGAATTTAAATGCTCATTTAATAAGAGAAGTTTCCAAAACTATTTTCATAGTGGGGGACACCCAAAGATTAGCCGTGTCTGTGTTGAGCTCAATAAAAAGGATAAAATAAAGTCAAACAAGATCGGGAAAGGTTTTAAGAAGGGACTTAAAAGAGTTCACTGACTCAGCTGACCTGATTTCCTCGGGCAGGCTGTTCCAGAGCCTCGGGGCCCTGACAGCAAACGCTCTGTCCCCTTTAGTTTTCAGTCGAGACTCTGGAACAGACAACAGACCTCTGCCCGAGGATCTCAAGGTACGTGCTGGTGCGTATGGGACTAAAAGGTCAGAAATATAACAAGGCGAGAGGCCATGAAGAGCTTTAAAAGTGATCAATAGAATTTTAAAGTCAATTCTAAAACATACTGGAAGCCAGTGTAATGAAGCTAAAATAGGAGTAATGTGGTCATATTTCTTTGTTCTGGTTAAAAGCCTGGCAGCTGAGTTCTGGACAGTCTGGAGTCCATCAATAGATTTTTGGGTTAAACAGGTGAAAAGGCTGTTGCAATAATCCAGGCGTGATGAGATGAAGGCGTGTAAAATGGTCTCGGTGTCCTTAAAAGTTAACATAGATCGACTACTACTATCAAACCAAACACCAAGGTTCTTTGCCACAGGCTTAATGTGATTTACTAGGGAACCAGCAGATGGCAGTATTTGATTTGCCATCTGCTGGGACCCGATGACCAGGATTTCTGTTTTGTCTGAGTTCAGCTGGAGGAAATTATTTGACATCCATTTTTTAACTTCACAAAGGCAGTTGAACTCAGCATTCCAGGGTCTGTGGATCTGACGGGCAAGTATATTTGTGTGTCATCAGCATAAATATGAAAAAAAATGCCATGTTTATGGATAATGTGTCCAAGGGGAAGCAGATCCAAGGAAAACAAAATGGGTCCTAAGACCACGATATTTAACTGGACAGAACGAAGAGACATCTGGGACATCCCGTCTTCTTTTCCTAATTATTAGCAATGCTCGTACATAAGTATAGTTCTCTAAGACTGACTGAAGATGGCCAAACACCTCAGACATGTCAATGAAGGTTCTCAGTTATCCGCATCATTCAAGTAAGGTTCAAATAAAGGGCAACTGGACTGAAGATACTTAAAGACGTTCAGACTCTCATCCGAAGGGCTTTTCCAGTTTTGACTCCAACGATCACAAAGACTCGTTAGAACAGCCAGCAGCACTAACGAACCACGAGGTATCCATCACATAACGACCCCTCAGAGGTTAAATGGCTGCAATTCCCTGCCTGTCAGTCAGACCTGAAAGCGTCATCAAATATCTTCAGCCAGTCCAGTTGCCCTCGACTTTAACCTTCCTTGGATACCTCTCAGAAATCTTTACGGAGGAGAGGGCTGGTCTGTGGTCTGATGGCTTCTGAAGCCGGAGAGGAAAACGCTAATATCCGCTAACATGCCACATTCGCTCATCCATACTGTTTGCGTCAAAATCCCTCAAACGTGTGCTTTCACAGAGCGATCCGGCTTTGCGGAACCAGCGATAGCAACACCGGCAGGCCGGCTGTGGATTTTCATACAGACACCGTATCCCGAAAAATAAGGCCATGTGAAAGCGCCTACAGATTCGGGAAACATTTATTTACAACATGTTAAAATAAAACAGTTCACAAACAGATAATCCTCAGTTAAAGCAGGCAGGAAGGTTTGGAAAGTTCACAAAGACTTTGGCATAAATGAAATAAATCTTCGCAATAAAATTCCTTTAGTTAAAAAACACACATTTAATTTTGCGTCAAGAAAAAAGTTATAAGAATTAGCTTGTGATGCTGCTGTGCTCGGCTGTCAGTGTACGTCCTGCAGCAGTAGATCAGACAGGAAGCAGCAGTGCTGGGGAGGTTTAGACGTAAGCTTTGGAGCTGCTGCCGTCGGGCGCCGGAGCTGCTCTGTAGATGTTTGGTCCTCGGCTCGTTGTGGAGAAGTTGTAAGAAAACTGCCTGCAGGAGAGAACAAGAGCTTTCTGGTTTATTCCCCAAAAGAAAAAACACACAATCCAGTCTCCAATCCATCTGTGGTCGAGTGGATAGACTAAAGCTTGCATGTTTTTGTGGCCCAAATCCCAGTCTGTTAAAATCAATTACGTGCTGATATTAAGTCTGAGATGATAGTTCTATTAGTAAATTATTGACCTGATAAGAATAAAAGTTTAACTGGAGAATGTGATGAAAAGCAATCAAACTAGAGAGAAGACGTCTTTGAAGGACTGGGTCTAAATTCTATTTCAGGACACAACTGATGGTCCCGGGGTCCTTTTCGGATTGGGAACTCTTTGTTTTTTAAAAGTGACTCATGAAGGATTTCCACAGTTCTGTCTGGGACCACGTCTGGTCTATACTGAACAGGATGCTGACCACAGCCCATCCGAATCCAGCCCTCTCTGTGTCAGTGGTATAAGGAAGGATTGTCTGTTGCTGATGACGCCCTCCTGTGGACAAACAGCAGTACTACGCGTAGTAGGAGGCATAGCTGTGAGGTGCTGTGGGTTTACCGTGCAGAGTTGGTGGGAATAGTCTTCCTGTAGGAGCAGCAGAGCATAGATCCTCCCAGTATGGCCAGACAGGAGGCCGCCCAGCCCAGATACAGACCTTTACCCAGCTCGAACCTGCAGCAGCATCAATCACAGTGTTAGCAGCAGGAGTTCAAACACCACACTGTAGAGGAGGTCTTAAGTGTAAGACTGACCTGACTCCTCCATACTGCAGGTTGTTGAACTCCTGGATGACTCTGGCAGTGTACCAGGAGACTGCGATCAGCGTGAAGACACCTGAAAAGACACCCAATATATTCACGAAGAAGACATACAGGGACACTCGCTCCACTGCAGCTGCTACAACATTTGGATGTTACGTTAAAATGTCTTTTGGCCAGTTCTGATCATTTCTACTCAGCTCACATACCAGACAGGATGAACAGGATTCCTCCAGTCAGGGCGATCTGGTCTTTGACGTACTCTGAGGTTCTGCCGATCTTGGTGCACTTGAGTCCCAGCACAGAAGCGATGATGGAGGCCAGGCCAACCAGCAGGGACAGGATCATCAGAGCCCTGCAGGCATGCAGGTAAGCTGGAGACCAGCACGCGTCAGGACATAAAAAACACAATGTTTAACAAAGAGTCTGGTTAGAGACGTTATTTCCTGTGGGGTTGTTTATGACTGAGCGGTGAGTCCTCACCTGGTAGTCCCAGCACCGTCTTGAACTTGCTGCACTGGAGGGACCCCATCGAGTTGGTAGCACAGCTCATCCACAGACCTTCAAACAGCCACTGACTGGTGCTGATCGCCTCCGCTTGACTGCTCACCTTCCACGCCTGAGAGGAGGTACAGCTGGACTGCAGACACCAGGACACCACGCCCAGAAGCAGACCCACAACCTGCAGGCAAACCGCCATGCTGCTCAATGTCCCCACGCACACCTGGAACACCTGGAAACACACCAGGATGTCGAAACCAGCTCTGAGAGTGATTTTTAACGGGAGTGCAGAGACCCCCCTAAAAACAAAGCCAACCTCCAGCGGACACACAGTAACACGATCGTCTTATTAGCAGCAACATGTAAAAAACAGGCTTCATTGTTAAAAAGGTTTTTATGAAACAGGTATAAATAGTGCGTTTATTGGGGACTATTTTTAGCGGCGGATGAGTCCACATATTGTGCTCTAATGAGTATTTTCCGCGCCATGGGGCCTTATTTCGGGAAAAATATGTCCGTTAGTCAACAGCGAGAGATAATTTTCTCCTGTGCAGACTAGCCTCTCCTGTGTTCTGAATTACACATGATGTTTGTCAGTTTAAGATATTTTAAGTCAAGAAAGTCAGTTTTTTGTGAAACTGTAAAGTAACATTTACTTTTGTGTGAAACTGCTCCATCAACTACATCTCTCGTCTTGCACAATTCACATCACCATCATGTTAGGGTTGTAATGCTAAGCTAACGTTCATTGCTTGCCTGCTACTAGCTAGGTAACTTAGCCATCTTCCGTGCACACATGTAGCTCAACTGATGTGTTTAATCCAACAAATCCTGTTCCTTTTATCACATCACATGGAGGCTCTCTGATGTTAGTTTTATTGATGTGAACTTCAGTGACATTAGTTTCAGCGACGTTAGCATCAGTAATATTAGTTTCAGTGACGTTCGCTTTAGTAATATTAGCTTCAGTGACGTTAGCTTCAGTTAACTAACTTAACGTTAGCATCAGTAAGTTAGTTTCAGTAACATTAGCTTCAGAGACGTTAGCTTTAATTAACTGAAGGGTAGCTTCAATAATTTTAGTTTCAGTAATGTTAGCTTCAGTGACGCGTTTAATCCAACAAATCCTGTTCCTTTTATCATCACATGGAGGCTCTCTAATGTTAGTTTTTAGTAATGTTAACTTCAGTGACATTAGCTTCAGTGACGTTAGCTTCAGTAATATTAGCTTCAGTGATGTTAGTGTAAGTTAAAGTAACGTTAGTTTCAGTTCACTAAAGTAACGTTAGCTTCAGCAACTTTAGCTTTAGTGACTTTAGCTTCAGTGACATTAACGTCAGTGATGTTAGCTTCAGTGATGTTAGCATTAGTGAGAAGCTTCAGTAATGTCAGCTTCAGTGACATTAGCTTCAGTGACATTAGCTGATGTGATGTTAGCTTTAGTAACGTTAGCTTCAGTGACGTTAACGTTAACTTTAGTGACTTTAGTTTCAGTAACGTTAGCTTCAGTGACATTAGCTTCAGTTAACTAAAATAACATTAGCTTCAGTTAACAAAGTAATATTAGCTTCAGTAATGTTAGTTTTGGTAACATTAGCTTTAGTGACGTTAGCTTCAGTGACGTTAACTTCAATGATGTTAGCTTCAGTTAACTAAAGTAACGTTAGCTTCAGTAAAGTTAGTTTCGTTGAGCCACTTAACTTCAGTGACGTTAGCTTCAGTGACGTTAGCGTAAGTTAATTAAAGTAACATTAGCTTCAGTAACATTAGTTTCAGTTCACTAAAGTAACGTTAGCTTCAGTAACTATAGCTTTAGTGACTTTAGCTTCAGTGACGTAACTTCAGTGACATTAACTTCAGTGATGTTAGCTTTAGTGACGAGCTTCAGTAAAGTCAGCTTAGGAGCACATTAGCTTCAGTGACATTAGCTTATGTGATGTTAGCTTTAGTGACGTTAACATTAACTTTAGTTTCAGTAATGTTAGCTTCAGTGACATTAGCTTCAGTGACATTAGCTTCAGTGACGTTAACTTCAGAATCAGAATCCGGTTTATTGCCAGGTACATTTACACGTATGAGGAATTTGCCTTGGTATGAATTGGTGCTTACAGTACACATAAAACATAAATAGTAATATAAATATATAAAAAGTAAGGAGATAAGAAAAAATTATACAAAAGTAAAAGTATACAAAAATATAAAAAGATACAATAATGCTATAATACAATGTTGTTAACTATCGTCCACATTTTTTCCAAAATAAGGTCGATGATGTTCCAGAGGAAGGGGAGGGACATGCAGGTTCTGTATTGGGGGCAGAAGTTTCTTTTCTCTATTTGGTTCGACAATAAGAAAAATACACAACACCTCCAACCTTCTTATTTCACTGTGTCAAAACTTTCCTGCTTTGCCACTAGATCACAACTCTGACTCCTGGAACTACTGAACCAGGTTTATGGTAAATATATTTACAGGTTGCCAAGGACCAATAGAATCTGGAGAATGATCTCTTCCTCTACCCCGGCCTGGTCACCTGTTGAACTGTGACCGTTTGAGCTCCAGGTTTTAATTTAATTCTTTTGGTCAACTCTGCCCACACTGTTTCCTTCAACAAATAAATATCCTACGTTTACTGACCAACTCCACTTCTATAACTTTTTTTTTAGAAACAACTGAGACTGAAAAACCGAACAGACAACCACTCTGAAGTCCTCGACTGTCCCGTTAATCAGGTTCTTACCTTCGGGGCTTCGAATTTGAAGTTTTTTAAGGTGACTGCTGGACGTTCTTCTCTGCAGCTGTTCCTCAGGTTTGCTCCTGTGATGTGGATCTGATCCTCTGAAGGTCTGCTGGTCTTCAGGGTCGATGAACTCTGGCAGAGGCTGAACCGCCTCTGAACACACAGGATTATCGACATGCGAGTGTTTCACCTACAACTCTGTTTGCAGGATCCTTCAAGTCGACTAACATCTATAATACTTTATTTCATCAATCTGGAGGAAAAAATAAAAAGTTTAAAGGTCTTCATGTCGGCAGTTCTTTCTGTGATGAACTCACATTCTAACTGAGCTTCACTAATATTAATCCAGGCGTCCTGCTCAGTCTGCGTCTTTTCATTGCTCAAAATGTACGGTTGGCCAATATTATTATCCCCAATATTAATCAGTTCTGGCCTCAAAAACACAGTATGGCTCAGTCGATAGAACATAACAATATTAATGCCACAGACAAAAAACTACAAAAACAGGGAGACATACTGTTACTGAAGTACATGATATAACATTCATTAATACTGCATTCAAAGTAGGTAAAGTTAGCCTAAAGAAGTGTTAACAGAAGGTAAAAGGTAGATTTATTTGTCACAATAAAGCAGGTTGTAAAGTGAAATTGGGTTTGTTACTCCCTCCTGCTACGTAGCAGACAGTATACAGTAAATTAGAAGCAATTACAAAGATAGTAAACAGAAATAAACTATATTCCACTGCAGTCTGGTGGTGCGGCAGCAGAAACTTCTATATCTCTTCCCAGAAGGCAGCAGGGTGAACAGGCTGTGGCTGGGTGGGTACTGTCCTTAAGGCTGATAATACACGGGGCAACTTTTTGAGAAATGTTGCTGGGCAATCTTGCTAGTGGCAAGTCTGACTTGTCCATGTCAGGTTCTCTGTGAAGCCGATTCCCAGGAACCTGAAACCTGCTCCACTGATGTAGACAGGAGTGTGTTTCTTTATCTCCTTCTTCCTGTAATCAACGATCAGCTCCTTAGTTTTGCTGACGCTGAGCAGTAGGTTGATCTCTGAGCACCACTCTGCAAGATTATCAATTTCCTCCCGATATGACAACACGCTCTCACTCCCGACTCATCACATATTTACGCTTGGTCAAGGCCCTTTGGCGTTTTAGACGTTTAAGTCTACGCGGTCAAGTTAGCAACCCTTAGCAAAAACAAATATGCAACGTCCGGTTAGACTTTCAAAATAAAACGCTAGCGTTTCGAAATGTTGAAAACGGCACGTTGTTAAAGTCTTGAAAAGTAGCAGTTTGGTTAGGTTTAGGAAACAAAACTACTTGGTTAAGGTTAGGAAAAGATCCTGGTTTGGATTAAAATAACTACGTACGTCAGTTAACATGTAAGTTAACGTAAGTCACTAATAAAAATATTTAATGTTGACTTTTTGTTTCACACGGGACACGAACCCCGGTCTCCTGGTTCAAAGTCGGGGTTCTGGCCCTCCATCCACCTCCTTACTCAGTCTTTCCTGTTAAATATTTAGCGTTACAAACTGACACCGATGGGTCTTGACCATGCATCCATATGTGACAAGTCGCAAACTTCTGGTTCTTTCCATTTGACACGAGAAGTCGGAATTTCTGAGTTCAAAGTCGGAAATTTTAAAAGGGAACTACCACCGACTTTGTGACCCAAGATGGCTGCTCCGAGTATCAAGTTAGTGAAAGCCGCAGTTCATCCTGTTTATTAGCATTTCTGTGTATTCGTGTCTCATAGAAATTGTCGTACACCAACCAGTGTTGGTAAAACGAAGGCTAACCTGGCTAAACAACGGCTAGCCAAGCGAGGATTTCCGACATCCCCAGCTCCGACTTAGGAGGTAAACATGGTGCAGCACTCAGCCCAGACTGCTGAGATCCTCTGTGGATCTGTGGGTTCTGAAACTGGTGAGGGTCCAGGCTGGGATGTTTGTTGGGATGACCAGTTTCTCAAAGCACTTCACTTCAGCTTCATGTACTTAAAGTATCAGCAGTAAAAATACAACAACAACAACAAGTATTCATGTAGCAGATGAATTTGCGGGGATGATTAATGGGAGATGAACGTAGAAGCTGCCCTCAGTTTACAGACTTCTCTAATCTCTGATGATTTTTAGTGAAACTTTAGATAATTTGAACAGTTATTGAAATTAGAGCAGTTTAAAGGGAAGCATCTCTTTGGTAGAACTGATAAAAACTCAAAGGTTGAAATGCAACTAAGTTAATCAGTTAATCAGCCTAATGCACAAAGTGGAAAGGTTGGCCAACACTGGTTAATATTTTATATTATCATTTGAACAGTAATAACTAAAGCTGTCAGACAAATGTAGTGATGTAAAAAGTATTTGTTTTCCTCTGAGATGTGGCAGAGTAGAAGTTGAAAGTGGCATGAAAAAATACTCTTAAAATTCTACTTAAGTACAGAGTAAATGTACCCAGTTACTAGTTAAAAGCTACACTACGTTTATCTGACAGTTATTAAATCTGCTTCTGAATGAAAGATTTTACATAGAAAACATAACAGCAGCTAAAATGATCAATTACTGCAATATAAACTATAAACTATATAACTATATATATATCGTTTATATATATATGAAATGTTTGACTTTACCAATATATTCGTGTAGCTTTCAGGTAGCGTACTAATTTCTGAAATAATTTCCAGCAGCCAGCTTATTGTTCTGATGAGTAACTGCAGTCGCTATAGTACGATATTTCATTTATGTACAATTTACAAAAAACAGCAGGCAAACTTCATTGTAAGTATTTAAAGTTTATACCAGATTAACAGTTAAAACAACATGTAGTAACTTTAAAAGCTCATATTTATCATGAGTACTTTTACTGTTCATACAGTGACATATTTTCCTACGAACCCTTCTGTTGTGATTTTGAGTGATTAGCAATTTTGGGTCAAATAAATAAAAGTTCCTGGATTCTAGTATCTAAATATGTATACATATATGTGCAGTATATATTTGTATCTATATTCTCTTCTAAATTTATTAATGTGCTTTATTTGACATTGTCTTTTTAATTCTTTGTGCTGCTTGTGCAGATCAACATGCAGACTAGCCTCTGCTGTGTTTGTCTGTGTTTTGACAGTTTGTGGACTTTAAACTGTCTCTTTATCAAACTGACTTCATGTTTGCGGGTCACAGTTAACTACCCCGTGCAAATGCAAGTAAAAATCCCTCACTAGTGTAAGACAAACTTTCTTACAACTTAAAAATGTTCGTAAACCTGTATTTTTATGTTGCAGAAAGAATATATAGAGCTTCTTTCAGACCTGCAGCCCTTTACCTCCATCTGATGGAGATTAAACGTGTCGGCATTGTGGTTGGATAAGTCACTTTTATGTTACCAACACGACGCCGATGAAAGTCAGAGTCAGAGCTGGAGAGAGCAGTTTGTCGTGTTGGACTAACGTTAGAAGTCTCGCTAGCAGCTCCTCTACATACACAACAAACTCCCCTCCCTCGTTTCCACCAGCTTCTTCCTTTCAAGTTTCTTGTTAATTACAAAGGGGGTCGCTGGGAGTCACCTGGTATAACAGTCTGAGCCTGTCGCTGGTAACAAGAAGCACTTTTTGTGGTGCCAAGACAGCACGGAGGTAACTTCAACCTGCGTCCTCTCCAGCAGCCTGCAGGGGGCGACTCCATCACGACCGCCACAGACCGCAGAGGAGCGGTGCAGCATCTCAGTTCAGCAGATGCTAATTGTTTAGAAGTGGATTTTAGTTTGTCTAACTTTACTGTTACTTCTTTTCTTCCAGTTGCTGGTGGTTTTAAACCAGAGGTTTTCATTAAAGCCTTAAATTAATAAATGAATCAACAGCAAAAGACTTGTATACTTTTAACCAGTGAGCTGTTTCACACCTTTAGAAACTGAATCTCTGGCTTTTTGGATGTTTTTATTGGCTAAATAATGAATTAACCCTAACACAATCAAAAACAGTAAAATAATTATTTTCAGTCCCAGTTTGGATTTCTGCTTCGCCTCTAACACAAACAAACAAAACATCAATCATTTATGTCGATTATTTTTTATAAATATGATCATTATTTTAAATCCAGGTGACTTCACCAGCTGAGGTCACCGTTACGCCCACCTACTTCCTGTCAAGGTGTCCTGAACGGTGCAGCTTCTTTCTGTTCATCTGTACATTTTATACATCTGTACATGTGTTTTTCCCCCCATCAGCCCCGGCGCTTCAGCGTTCTACACGGCGCCACCTCCGTCACCTCCTCCGCCCGGTCGTCCTCCTGTTCTCAGGTCGTGCCACAGCTTAACAAAAGGTTCTCGGTTCTTCCAGATCAACTCGTGACCAAACAGGATGTACCACCTGGATGAGACGGGACAGATGGGAAATTATTTCAGACTGACAGTCTCGCCAAAATAAAAGTGTAGTTTATCATTTAAAGTCATATTAAAAGCTTTTAAAAAGGCACAAACACAGATTTAAAGGTGCCGTTGAATAGAAACTTTTTTTAGAAGGAGACCTATTAAGATTTTCCACATTTTATGACTTATCTGTAATGTTATAATGTTGGATGTTCATGTTAAACGTGGCCAAAGCTTCAAATAATGAGGTTAAAGTATTTAAAAGAAATCCCTGTGAGCATAAACCTCAGGTTTCCTCCTGTTCTGAACATTTTCAACTGCTTTTTCTACCAACGGCTCCGTAATACCCAGACGGAGCCGCTGTTCCATATATGGTCATGTGCTCCCATAGCAACGGCACAGCAACGCTCAGTCTGCCTGTTCCGCCCAGCGACAACAGCAGCCTGGTAACATGCTTCAGGTCTTGGCCAATCAGAAGACAGTGGGCTTTGAGAGGGGGGGCCTTAAAGAGACAGGAGCATCTACAGCTTGTTTCAGACAGAGGCTGAAATGACCAGTGTAACTTTGAATCATGCAAACTTGCCATACAGAGTCACAGAACTACAATATAGGACTGGAAAAGCAGAATAATAATAGGTCTGCTTTAAACCTTAGCGCTGAAATCTTACAAAATATAAAAGAAAAACAGATGAACGCCAACAAGTGCTATATGTGATGTAACATGTGGAATCTTTAATGTTTACGCCCCCAAAAGTTACATAACTTCACGTCAGGGTGACCCCGCCCACTTCTGTTGTACGGTCTATAATTTAGAAAAGGGTGCAGAGCGGCTGCTGCGATTGGTCGGAAACAGCGACTTACATTCCAAACAGGGCTCCTCCTAAATGAGCAGCGTGGTCAAAAAACTTCCATCCCAACACCACGCCGGCAGTATCCATCGCGACGATGGCCTTTAGAGCCTGCAAAGAGAGGGGGGTGAGTACATGATGAAACAGCCAGACAGGTGCAGCAGGTGAAGCGTGTCTTACGTTGGCGGCGCTGAAGGAGAACATGGGGAGGAAGATGATGGCCAGTTTGGCTTCTGGCATTTTGGTGCAAACGGCCGCCAGGATGGTCATGATGGCTCCAGACTGAAAACACACAGAGACCCACATGAAAGTCACGAGTTACTGAGAAGCAGTGAGGATCAACATCACGGCCGCTGCTTGTGCTATAAAACACCCAACCGCCTCTGCTTTCAGCACCTTAAGGCAGACAACAACTTTTTTTTATGATGATCTGGTCAATTTAGAGATTTTGATCTGATTGGCTCGTGTCGATTTCTGACACCGTGATGTGCGTACTTCCTGATTTTTTTTGACATTATTTTCTGATTTATGGAGTGATAAAGAGAGATCTCCAAAATCCCCTCAGTAAAAACATTTGAGTCTAATACGTCAACAAAATACAACAATAAGTTTAAAACTAAATGAATCCAGGGTTCAGCGCATATTTAATTAGATACTGCCTCATTTGCATTTCCATATTATTTCAGAAAACCTGTGATCCAAAAAAATATTGTTTAATGTAAATTATCAATTAGAAAAGTTATCTATTAGTTAATTTGTTTTACCCTACTTTACACGCTGCCTCTAGTACCCTCCACCTTTTATAACTACCTCTGGTTCCTGGCCGTCACTACGTAGACACTTTCACTTTTATTTTTTTGTGTACAAAGTCATGCTTTTCATCTCCGCTCCTCTCTCACCAGGTTCCAAAGGTTTTCACTGAGCTGGGAAAGAAAAGCTTTCTCTAACTTTTCTCCCTGGACTTGGAATTATTAGCAAAACTTCCTCCATCTTAATGTTCTAGTCTTGTAAAATGAAGTTAAGCCGTGTTAAAACAGAGAAAAGCAGCTGGATTTAGTCTCTTCCTTTATTTGTGATGTGATTTAATACTAACTGGAAAGAGAGTTGAATCTCAGGGGACTTCCTGGTTAAATAAAGTTGTGAGTAGATCAGCTGAAGAGCGATTTCTGCTTCTCTTTCGATCATTTTTAAAAAGACAGAGGAGGTAAAACAATCCAGAATTTAAAAAGAAAGATCCTCAGTCTGCTCATTTCTCTGAGGTGAATTTAGATTTTTATTTCCAGTAAAATAAAAAACTAATGTTGGTACTTACGGCGCCCAGAGATGGACCGAACCTCCCCGTTGCCATCTTACACACATAACTGGTAAACGAAGAAATGACACCTGAACAAACACAAAGAAGGCGGAGTCAACAACAACAACAACAACAACAACACATCGCTGTACTTTCCACTAACAGCGTCGTCACGGTCACAGACGTCGTGTTCAGGGCCACAGCCTGCGGACCGCTCTCACCTGCAGACAGGTAGACGGCCATGAACTGCTCTCTGCCCAGCATGGAGACGGCGCTGGTGGAGAAGCTCCAGAGGACGTACATGTTGGCGGCCATGTGGAAGAAGGAGAAGTGGCTGAAGGTGGAGAGAAGCATCGGGGAGCAGAGGGTCTCTGAGGGACGACACACCGTTACAGACGTTGGACTTCACTGCGTCCGTGTTGCTGCTTCATTAATTAACAGTGGATTAATTCAATTCTTTCAACTTCATTAATCCCGATAACTCAATTAGTTAAGAGCAACATGTGACCTACATAACGAACAAAATACAACCAACATTCACAACATACAGCAGCCAGTATGTGCACATTTGAAACACCATAAAAGGCCCTACAGGGAGTTTAAAAGTCTTATTTGGAGCGGCGGTTCGTCTTGGTAGCGCATGACGACGTCCAGAAGGCAACAGAGACAATTCACCAGGCAGAGCAGGTGCCGGCGAGGCTCAAATACTTTCTGCCTTCCGCTTAAAAAGTGCACGCACACATAAAACAAACGTTAAAGCACACATCAAAATCAAGCGGTCAGCATTCGCGCTGCTCACGGGTCGGGCAGAAGCTCGAGCGCCCACGGAAGTAATGGCTCATCGTAAAGCAGCATTTCCAGCCCACGTCTGCCACAGATATACAAGGAAGACATTTTTCAGCATCACTACAGTTATTTGAACACATACAGTCATGGCCGACAGCTTTGGTATTCTCATGTTTGTTGTTCCCCACAGAACTCCAAAAACGGACTGAAGAGAATCATTGGCACCTTCTTTAAATCTACAGAAATAATTCTATTTCAAACATGTGTCCTTCAATTTGTAATTAAACTCACCTGTAAGCAGCTCACAGGTGCTGGCAATATAGAAACCACACTTACAGCCAGTTAAAACGGACAAAGTTTGACTCAGTCTTGTGTGTCTTTGGTCCAAGTCTCAAGTCTGTCCGACGTGGACCGAAGAGAAGAACTGATGAAAGATCGCAAAACGAAGGATTGTTCGTGGATAAAGAACCTCGGTCATCTACCAAACAAATTCCGGTTGACCTGCAGAAACAGGGTCAACAGGGTCACATCTGCGGCCACGACTGTCTGTACGTTAAGTCTGGAGCTCCGTGCGTCGCTGCTGTGCTGCAGACGCCGTTTCAGTGTCTTCACTCAGTGTACGGTGCTGCAGGAGTAAACGTGATCTTAAACGCTGTGAAGAGTAAGTTTCTCTCACATGAATTCATAGTTTTCATTCGCACGACATGTGACCAGTTTGCTCGCATATGCCCCTAAAAATCGATACGTGCGAACCGGAAAAATGATTTATGAGCACAATGTTCGAGTAACTACAACCTACAATATGATGAGACAGTAGCATTAACTAATTAAGTAGGGTATTTTTCTTGCACAAGGATTTAATGACTGAAAACATGAAACTGCTGTTTTGTCCAGCTGGAATTCATTTTCTGCCAGAGGTGGGCTGTTTAGTCTACTATTACATAAAATGACAATAGCCTAGTAAAATTAAATAGTTCATATAATAACATCCTAGCAGTGTACTACTGGATTAAAATTAAACTTTTTATATGTTATAATATTACACTAATACACTCATTTAAGCTAGTTTCTCCTCCATGTTGTGTGAAAGATGCCGGTGTGCCACTATGTGCTCCTTCTGGCCTCCTCCTGAGAGCAGGAGGTGCACGTCAGGCTACGGCGTAGGTGACGGCGATTCAACGCACAAGTATAAATTGCACTTAACACGTTCCCCTGGTTCTGTTTTACTGAAGTCATTGTAACACTGTTCTGTAGTCTTGTTTCCATCAGGGGTGGGTTGTGTGGGCGCTGCTGGTGGACCAATCACAGTTAAGTTTTTTTGTGATGACTGATCAGTGTTTTCAAAACATCTTTTTGAATATTTTAAAAAGCTTCAACAACATATTGTTAGACGTCGAGGCGTCCAGATACCAGGGTCTTCACTTCCAGTCCTTCAATGGTTTCACACCATAGTTGAACACAAGAAGAAGGAGCAAACACGTAGTATAAATGTGTGTATAATAAATAGTTTGTTCACTCTAAATTATTTCATTTCGGAGCACATGTGCTCTTTGGGAGAAAGCTCAGCGTAGAGCCCTGCCTCCCCTCACACAGCTCGGCTCGTCTCCTCCTCGAGCGCGTACGAAAGCTCAACACAACCGTCCAGCATTTTGGCAACGCAAAAGTAACAAACTCAAAGCAACAGCTTGCTTCCTGGTTGACAGGCAGCGGAAAATAACGTCTTTTTTTGCCCGTTTTCCCTGGAATGTGACGTCACGTGAAAACCATCAATTGCCCCATCAAGCGAGTAGCAGAGAGTTTCTGCTGACATATCTGAACTCTGGCAGCGTGAGCGGACAGACTCACTGGAGGCGGGGTTGGAGGTGAAGTATTTGATCATGGAGCGCTGCAGAGATGGTACCCTCCAACAGCAGAACACCACAACGTTAGCAGCAATGATCCCTGGGAAAATAAAACACAGAGACATTCAGGGATATTATAATAGTGTTTAATAAGAGTTCTGGATGTAAACGGGCTGTCTGGCTGCACAGGGAGGGGTAGCTGTTCTTGGTGTTGCATGCTGGGCTTTTATTTTGGTGAATATGTTGTGCTTTAAAGTTATAATATGTATTTTGGACAGTGAGGCTACATCCACATCGCTGCGTCACTGCTGGCGGTCCAGCGACCTGCACTACGAAGAGAGTAAGTAAGTCCTTATCCTAAATGTTTTCTACGGGTGTAACAATACACCAAATCCACGGTTCGGTTCAGACGTACTGCCGATGGAGAAAGTCAGCTGAAACTCATCCAGGGAGAGAGAGAAAGAAAGAGGCGGAGCCAGAAAGAGACGGAGCCAGCTGGCGTGCATTTCGCCGGCAAAAAGCGGAAATGTCACAACTGTAACTTATAATCCTGCTGTTCTTGTGTCACATATAGTAGTTTTAAGAGTTTTTTTATTGGGGAATAAAGTTGTTTAAACTCCAAATATGTGGCTGATTTCTCAAGACAGAGCTGATCTAAAAAATTGCTACGATGTTTTTGAAGATGCGAGGTCTGGCCCGCCAACGGGTCCGGCCGTCAAGTCCGCTGCTGTTCCAATTGTACTCTTGCCGAGTCCGAGCTTTAAAGTACAGAAGTCCGAACTTGGAGAACTCGGTATTGAGAAACAGCCCTCGTCTCTAAATGATCTTTGTTGGGAGTTGCACATGCTCAGTTCCTAGTTAAGGACTACTAGCCAATCAGAAGCAGAGAAGGGCGGGTCAGCGAGAAGCCGGTAAACAGCTCGGGTTCAGCCGTACGTGTTGCCGACCGGCTCGGCAACATGGACTGGAGCGAGAGTTTCACTTTGCAAACCTGTTACATGCACAAAAAAGGTTTATAAGTCAATAAAGGAGAAGGGAAAAGGCAACAAGCAGATTACCTCCTTTTTAATGTGCAGTTGTACCTTTACCGCTTAATCATATTACACAAAACATAAAATACTAAACAGAATCACAACAAGAACACTGTGCAGATCAGATTTACTCAGACCTCAACTCAAGCCTCCCTCGCTCTGTCGGCCGCCAACGTTTCTTTATCTCCTCATATCCTGACACAATCATCAGGAAAATCCGGAGTCGAACACGCCCCTTTTCTGCGACCGCGCATCAGCTCCCGACCTTCCCCGATAAGCCCGAGTTAAATCTGAGTTGGTTAAACTCCCTTCGTAGTGCACGCCTCAGGCCGACATCTGTTTTCTTCTGGAGAGGGGTCATGTGATCGCAACCTGACGAATCAGGGAAGGATACGCCATGACTGATGAGCCTAAATCAGGTCCTCTGTTTTCACCGGTCCACACTAACACGCTGCCCCGGAGTTTAAAAAACGAACAGAGGGTCAACAGCGTTTTCAAACTTCTCCGTTTTAAAGCGGACGGCAGGCGAAAGGAAGCAGAAGGTCTGCGTTTTAACAGGAAAACGTAGCGGCGTGGCTGCAGCCTCGGACAGAGGGGCTGATGGGACATCAAACCTGCGGCTCTGCTGGTACAGGTGTGTGCGTGCGGTCTCACCTGTTACCGTCTTCTGCCCCTCGCTCAAGCTGTGCCACCACTGGTTCACCTGAAACACAAGCAGCCAATCAGGGCTCACACTGCGAAGGTCATTATCACCTCAGACACGTGGTCACACGAAGACAAATCAGCCGTCGCTCCTGGAACGTGACGATGTGACCTGATCAAGTTAAGGGGACAAAGGTGCAGCGGGAGTTTACCTGAGTCTCCAGCATGTTGTGTGAAGCTCGTGAGTTCGAGCGCTCACCTGGCTGCGATCTAAAAACCGCAGGTCAGAGGAGTGCGACGTCACAGCTCACCTCTTTGCGGACGTCTCCTCGCTTCTGAGGTCGCAGCTTCTCCAGCCAATCGGCTCGGACCTCGTCGAAGTAACTCTGGACCCGGGACTTGAGGGACTCGTACTGCCAGATGGCCGCCGAGCCGAAGGAGCAGCCTGTAAACTGACATGGCGTTAACACCTGTCCGTGACATCGCTGACGGTGTCATCACCTACGTAGACAGGTAGACCTACCCCCACGGTGAAGACGAGCGGCCTGACGAGCCGGCCGAAGGCACGGGGGGAGCTGCGAGGAGCCTGCTGGTCGCAGGGGGGGACCGAGGTCCGTCGGGGGACCACGGCCTCGGAGGCCTCTGTGGGAGGGGCTCCCAGCTCCTCCTCTACCTTCTTGGATTCTGGTTTCCTGGCGGCTTTCCGGAAGCCACATCTCTGCTGGAAGCTGTGAGGCCACCTGCTGGACATAAAACAAAGATCTCATTTCACATCTGTGACGCCTAAAAACATTCAAATAAAACAGAGAGTCCAAACTGGAATGTTTCAACACAGCAAGATGATGATTTTAACGCTGAAGAATCAATAATCTGTTGTAGACGTTTCACTACGTGTAGGGCTGGACGATACGGCCAAAAATGTTCTCACGATTCAAAGCTTCATATCTTTCAGTATCGATAATTATCACGATAAGGATCAAATCTTTATTTCTTTCAAGTTTAAAGGCTGATTTTTGCTCCCGAGTGAAAGTTGAAGACACCTGATGGTTAATTGTGGTTTAAACTCGTCTTTATGGTCAGAACACTTGAGGCCAAACAGAGGATCGCTTCACAGATCTGAGGCAGAACATTCAAAACAATCATGATAAAATCTGTGCCAACAAATATGCAGGAGGAAAATTAAGTAAAAGCTTTTTTCAGTCCGTTTTTCCTCAACAAAATAAACATCTTAATAAAAAAATGCGCCAACTCCTGTATGATTCAAGTGAAAAAAATCAAACATTTATTGAATATTCATTAAACATTTCTTACATTGTCATTGAAAAATTATTGTTATTGTTTTATCGTCCAGCCCTCACGAAGTGTACCGAGTTTCCTCCAACTTAACCACTAAAATTAAAACACGTGATTTCCACCAAACAGCAGCGTTAGCATCAGGGCTCTCGAGCCTCACGCATTCACCGCGAGACACGCGCATTTCAACCAGTTCACACGCCACACCTTGTATTTCCCACGCTGAGAGGTAATAAGAGAGAACGCCCACAAGGCGTTTCTCTAAACTAAATACAGAAATCATGATTTGTTGTTTCCGGGTAAATCCCGTCATCCCGCCGCAAGCGCGTTCGTTACTAGGCAACATGCACGCGCGCACACGGAGTGGAAGCTGGAAGAGCAAGCGTGTTTTTTTGTTTTTTTAGCATTTGGATTTTAGAATTCCTGGAGGAAAAAACTTGTCTGTGATCAAATATCGAGAAAGCAACTGATGTTTGGGAGTACAGCCAAGTCCGTGCTAAACTCCCCGCGTCTTCGCAACCAGAAGCTTCGGCTTAGCCAGTGGTGAACAAAGTAGACCTATTCAGATCCTTCTTAAAGTAAAAGTACTGCATTGAAAAAGTTAAAGAAAAGTATGTAAGGAATAAGCAGGAAAATGTAGAAGTAGCCTATCAAAGCGAAAAGAAAAATGTCCCCGTGACTATTATTAGATTATTATTCCTCGTGCATTAATGTAGTTGAACAACGTTGTATCAGACTGCAATTAATGATTATTTTCATTATGTATTAATCAGCTGATTATAGTAGTAGTAATGTGAGAAATGTTGTCACAGTCATCCAGAGCCTGAAGCGACACTTTCACAACGCCAATGTTTTGTCAAAACTACATTAAAATAACCAAATAAAGCAGCAAATCTTCACGTTTGTGAAGCTGCAGCCATGAAATGAAAGATTACTAAAACAGTGTCCGTGGTTTGGTCTTACTAACGTAGGCCTACTAGCTGTAGGCTACTTGTATGAACTGTTAATTTAATTTAGAACAAAACATTCATTTTTTTTTTCACTCTTCATTTGTTTTGTTTGTAAAAAGCTTAATTTGGACAGTAACTAGTCGCTGAAGCTGTCCGATAAATGTAGTGAAGTAAAAAGCAGCAATATTCCCCTCTGAGATGTAGAAAGTGCCATGAAAAGAAAACACTCAAGTAGACTTTCCATCTCATTAGTACTTCAGTACAGTACTTGAGTAAATGTGCTTTGTGACTTAAACTGAAACTAAGGAAAGAACCAGAGAGGTTTTTCTATTTTAAGCTCTGGACGGATCATCCATCTTAAAGCTGCTGCAAATGCCTGAATGGCTCCTCCTCTAACAGATGTAGGCTGCGTCCGAACGTTCTGACTGCGTGAAGCGACCCGGAAGTATCTCAGCGGCAGCCGTGATAAGAGCCGTTCGAAGTCTCTAAACGCTGAAGAAAGGAGCTTCGATGCTTCCTTTCATATCTCCTTTAGCACAGGGTACACCGGACCATCCTCTACCAAAGGAAAGGAGAGAACGCCGTCCCACAGTTCCTTTCGGCGGCAACATTTAAAGCGTCGCACGTTCTCAAACTCAAACGATAAAATCCATCGACCACATTTAGCAAAATCCTGCAACACAGACGCACATTATGATACTTTAATAAGACTCAGTTTCCTTCTTTCTTTAGGCTTTTTTGTAATCTGATCAGTATATACAGGAATCCTGATGTAAAATTCAAAACCTTTTTAAGACCTTTTCAAGACTTTGTCAACATATTTTAAGACTGCTGCGCCACTTTGAGCTGTAACCGATTAAATCAGCCACACACCTTTAAAAGGGACATTTTTGAGGTTTTAAAAGGAATTTAAATATATTTATAACATATTTATTGCCTGTATGTCATCAGGTTGTAACGCCACCTACAAAGGCATTCACCAACTTTCTCAGTTGCCTAACAGCCTGTACGAGCCAACAGGTTTCTATGTGAAGGTCAGATTTCCTGCGAAAAGCAGCTGTCTTACATAAACTATGACGTTTATGTTTCTGTACGCAACATTACAGCAAATCATGTGATCACAGTGTGATTTTGTGTTTTAGTTGGCAGGATTAGTACAACATTAGAACATTAAATTGAAAGTATATTGTTAATTTAATAGTAAACTGTAAGCTTGATATTAATATATTCATTATGTTACTATATTAAATATAATTTCATATAATAGAATATAACTTACCACTAGTGTAATATTAATTCAAATTACAGCTGTTTTTTATTCATTAACTTTGTGCAAGAAAAAAGTCTCCAGCCTTGATTTTGATCAGGCTGCTAACTCGTCCATAATCAGAGTTCAACATTTATAAAGTTTGCAGCACATCAAACTTCTTTTTAAATCCAACTCCATCCAGGCTGTGATTGGTCTGTTCACAGAAACCGACGCTGACGAGAGCGTCGGTTTTATGAGAAGTTGAATTTGTTTCAATAAAAAGCAGAGATTTTCCCTGTTGTCTTCTGTCTGACTGATTCAGCTTCTTGCTCTAGTTTTTCAGGGCTGTTCAGGGGGCCACAGAGCGACCGGCCAACCGGGTTAATCCCGTCACTCCTGATCGCCACTCTGACTATGTTTTGGACCATTATCATTGCGGGTCCGGCGGGGGGGGGAGATCACGGTTGGTCGTATTTGTAAATCATTTTCCGGGTCACACGGATCTATATTAGGTAGATCCCTGCGCCTAACGTTACAGAAACCAATCACACAGTCGCTCCTCTCTGCCTGTCTAGTAGTTTTTGGCTACGCATTATAAATAAATATGTTCATCTACACTTTCAGCAAACAAACTTTTGGACAAACACGATTTTCCCATTGAAAAAATATCTTCAAAATATATACACAGGCAGCCTGACACATTATCAACGCTGATTTTGTTATTTAAAATGGGTAAAATCGTATTTTATGACAGAGCTCCACGCAGCGTATATATATATATATATATATATATATATATATATTTTCTCTCAGCATCTCTCGGCACAGTTACGCAGTCATTCTGTGGGAAACCCTGTGCACATGAATCGGCCTGTGGGTGGGAAGGAGGGTGAGTGTGAGCATCTCAATGTGACAGCCTGTCCATTATTTAGTGACTGAACCTCATCTGCCTGCCTGCTTTCTCAGTTATTAAGTAATATTTTCAGAGATGCGCTTTCTGTAGTCCATCTTCAGAACACTGTAGTTTCATCACGTCAGTAACATCCGCCGTCGCCTAGAAAAGAGCAGTCGGGTTCTCTTATTACGCCGCGTTCCAGGCAACTCGGAACTGGGAAATTTCCGACCTCCAACTACAAAAACTATCCTGGAAGTCGGTGAAAAAATATGCACCCCGAGTTCACAAGTAGCAGCTGACTTACGTCACAAAACAATGTCAGCGCCCAAGGAATAAACTAAACAGCAACAACAAGTATATTTGCATGTATTTAAATTAAAATAATACATACGGTCATGTAGTAAAAGCTGTTCTGCGTGTACACCGATGTAGAAATATGTTGGGCCTATTAGGTAGCTGGCTACAGTAAAGACTCTTCTTCTCTGCATAAAAGTTATTGTTCAAAATGCCAAAACACGAGGACGTGTGACCTGCAACACTGACCACCACCATCACCAACTGATGTAGCTGGAGGGGCCAGTACAGGCTGTTTATGTCAGTAACACCTGAAGCACTGCTGAGGTGCCACTGTGTGCACACTTTGTCACGCTCAGCCATGGTTTTCGTTCACTTTCGGCGTCGTGCGCCTGGAAAGCTGGGAAATATCGCAGTTCCAACCGGTCTCGAACGCAGCATCAGACCCGCGGGATTCTCCTTCACATCTTTCCTTGACCTCGTGACGTTTTCCATCGAGGTCGAGGAAAGGAGGTGAGGAAAGGAGGTGAGGAAAGGAGATTCTTCTGACTTTCCGGACGCAGCCCTGATCTCACTCCAAACTTTTGCTAAAACTTGAGGTTAACATGATAAAAAAAATGTACAGCGTTATCAATTATACACTCTGTAACTGAACTAAGAGCAACACATTTATGAATGTTTTAATAAGAAACTGATTATTAAACTATGTAGTCAAACTATTTATCAAAAAGAATCATTCAGAAACAAACACAAACAAACAGCAGTTAGCGCCGTTAGCTTCCCGGCTAACGTTAGCCAGCTAACAGCAGTCTACACTGCCCTTGAGTGCTAACAGTGCTAACAGTGCTAACAGTGCTAACAGAGCTAACAGAGCTAACAGAGCTAACAGTGCTAACAGAGCTAACAGAGCTAACTCCGGGCAGCGGAGGTCCGTCTGTCTGTCAGCCGGAACAGGCTGCCTCCCTCCCGCTGTGGTTACTGACCTGCCTCCCCTCACGGAGCTCCGTAAAACATCTTCTCCGGTCAGTCTGAGCAGGACGGCGCAGCTCCTCCACGCCATGGTGGAGCCCGGTGACCCCGGCAGGTCGTTCACTACCGGGTCAACACCCCGGAGCGACCGGAGCTGAACGGAGGAATAACGGGGACACCTGCAGGACAGAGGCGGACACTGCACACCTGGGACAACAACAACAATGCACCGCGTAAAGCACGCGTCAACAACACGGACCATAACTTCCGTCCACGACTTTCAAAGTAAAATACTGTCAAAGAAAATCAACGATTTTACCTTCAAATGACAAATTCTAACTTTTTTTTTTTTTTTTAAAGTATAAAAACTAAATGTAAAGAACAATGAGGGTATAGTCATAGGTGTCATTTACACTGGGGACGCTGGGGACATGTCCCCAACTGCTGATTTTGTCCCCACCCCTTTTTGAAAGCATTTCTTTAAAATGATCTGAAAAATAGCACCAAGAAATGTTAACTAACAAATGAAAATGCTTTGAGAAAAGGTTTATTTGCACAAAGAGAAAACATGCAATGAAATATAGTTTTACCTGATATAAAAACAGACATTTCCGTCGTAAATTGGAGCAGTAAATGTAAAAAATGAAAGTTCGACTTTAATGCTCAAGATCTGCCGGCGGAGGCCCCCAGGCCACGTATATTTCTGCATCAAATATTTAATCTAAATAGTGCTAAAAATCTTCTTGTCTGTTCATTCCATTTTTATGTAATTTTAAAGCTACATGTTTGTGTTTATGTACTAAATTGTCATTGCAGAATCCTTGTAGGTGTATGATACTTGGCAATAAAGCTTTTCTGATTCCGATTCAAGGCCTTATAATGTCCCTAAAGATTTCAGTGTCAAAGCATTTTTTAAATAAGTTTCACTTAGATGCTGGTAAATAAAATACCTTTTCTTAATTATTTCCTTTTGTTGTTTCTTATGACATATTTACTTGTAATGTATTATTAATTGTGGGTAGCATTACATATTAGCTACATTCATTCATATTCTATGCTGTGTTTCTGTCCCTAAAAAACATAAATTATATAATATATAACATAATTATAAATTGATATTATTTTTAGTATCATGTAGTATTGTATTTTTTAATATTTGTTTAACTTGGTATCCAGTCATTCTGACGCACTCATACACTTATTATAATTTATACAGGTTTTTTTCTTTTCATTGAAATGGTTAAATAAAGTTATTAGACACGGGTGAAATTAAGATGCATGTCTGTACATAAGCAACAAAAAATAATACGTGTTTCTATAACTACCTTTTTCTTATTATTTCCTAATTTATTCCATTGTTTAATATTGAGGTTTAGTATTTTACTCACAGATATTACTGCACAACAATTTATTTGTTATTCCAGTTTCATTGTATATGACAAATGTCTTTATTTTTATTATTGTACTTTAATTATTAATTATTTTAAATTGTTGGGTAGATTATTATGTAAATTTTATTCTTTGTTACAACAAATGCAAGGAGTTTACATTATTTTTACATTTCAATAATTATTATTTTTTTATCATATCCTACATTTATTACATTATTCCACAGTTAGAAGTTGCTTTTATTGTACCAGAGTAAATTTATAATTATTATTTCTATTAGTATATTTTATAATGTATTATAAAATGTATATATATATTTATAATTCGCAAACTTTTTATTATTATTTATATTTATTTAATGCTTTGATTAGCAACGTGAGCAACTGTAACAAAACAATTTCTCCTCAGGATCAAGAAAGTGTTTCTGCTTCTGAAACTGTGATATATAACCAACACATTTATTTTGAAGGCGGCGAGCAGCGGAAGTAGCGCTGTTGTTTCCGGCGCTCGGCTCGGCTCGGCTCGGCTCGGAGGAGACGAGCAGCAGTAGTAAACCTGTGTGTGAGCGCGGAGGAAAGATGGCGGCCCCTGCTCTCTCCAGTCGGGCTGGCTCGGCGGGCAGCCTCGGGAACAGCCCCACCATGGCCGCCGGCAGGCTGCCGCACGGCGGCGGGCCCGAGCTCGACTTCAGGTCTGCGGCCCGCATGGAGGACCTGAACCGGCTCATCCAGGAGTTCAGCAAGCACGACCAGCGGGAGTACGACGACCAGCGGGCTCTGGAGATCCACACGGCCAAGGACTTCATCTTCTCCATGCTGGGTGAGGACACAAACACCGGGCTGGTATTTCACGGGCGGTGACGGTAAACGGTGCCCCCCCCCCCCCCCGTTAAAAGGGAGCTGCTGGGAGGAGGATGCCCCCCCCCCCCCCTGCGCTCCACCTGCTCTGAATCACAACACCTGCGTGATGCAGAAGGTGAAAACGCAGCGGGACGCCGCAGCGGTGCGGTTCTCACCTGTGACCCGCTCAGGTGCTGCTGGGAGCGTCACGGTGATGCGTTCAGGGGTTTAGCTCCTGTGTTTGGGGGACGACGCTGAAGTTCGCTTCGGCAGCTAAAGGGAAAGTTAAAGGGAACTCAGGTCCAGATCCGAAGCCTGGAGCTGTCAGACCTGGACTAGATTATTCCAGAGAGGCTTAAGGTTTCTGTAAAAGGGTCATTCCACCGAATGGGTGCCATTTCATTACATAAAATGTATAAATATGCATACAAATTAACTTTAAAATACTTTTTGTTATTAAGCAAAGTGCCCTGCACATTAAAATAATTGCAAATGCGAGATAAATCTCTTTAAACATTAATAAAATGATCTAGAACACTGAAAAATAGCATTTGTTTCCTGTCCCCAGTCCCTGAAACTACACTCTACAATGTAATATCATAATTAAAAAACATGAGAAATTAGTTTTTTTTTTTGCATTTATGAGCGACTCCATATCCCATCTATGCTCTAAACATTTTTTCTTCAGAAAATGTTTGTAATATTTGAGTTAAAATGCACGTTTTAGTCCTGTTACCCTAATACACCCCCCCCCCCCCCCTCTTAAAAAAGTCCCATGTTTTAGAGAAAGTTGCATCATCTGCGTCTTCTGAAGGTCGTGAGAAGACCAAAAGTAAGTTCTTTAATTTTCTTTTCCTTATATTTAATGATATTGTAACTATGACGGAGCAGGTCAGTTACAATATTCATTCCTGTTACCTAATTTATTTCTTAGACTTAATTGTTTATTTTAAAAATAGAGAAGAATCACTAGAAAGTGCTCAGTGTCCTCGTGCTGTTACCGTGTCTTCACCTCCTTTAGTGGTGTGTCCGGAGGGGAACTTTCAGATTTTTCATGGGCTCTATTCTAAATCCAGAGTGAAGATACTAGTATCATATGAAACTAGGTGACCTAATGCATCCATTGCTACCGTGCATTTCTTTGCATTTGGTATAAAAGGGTTTTTTGAATATTTCTGCATACTGTAACCCTGTGCTCATTCCTGTTACTATATTGTTTAGTTTTTCCATAAAAAATAATAGAAACCACTATTTGTTTGTATCATGACTGGCCAATTATTTATCCCATTGTTAAATAAATTACATGACTGCAAAGATAAACTTGAGGTTTTTGTGTGCTTTAAACAAAAACAAAACAAAAGAAAGGTTTCGAAAGAAAGAAAGAAAGACAATTCAACTTGCATGCATATAAAAAACATTTTTTTGAACATGTAACCAACAGTTGATTTAAAATAAACACTTTCTTTAGGGAAAAACAAAGGAATTTAAACATGGTTTCAAAATGACACATAAGTTTTGGTAACAGGACTGAGAAAAATGCAGCCATTTTCTGCTTAGAAACCTTGTAAAAGTTTAAATAAATTTGCCTGAGAGTGACCATTAAATATTTTATATAGTTTAACATGTGTGTTATTAGATTCAGTGTTGAAAAAAACGTCAAAATTGAAGTTTATTTTGGAAGGGTGACAACAGCCAAATGGCACCGTTTCAGATTTGTGAAACCTGTATTCTGTTTATGGAAATGGAAATCTCCCTTTTTATTTTCACAAACCTGAAACTCAAAATCAAGAAACTTCAGCCTCTCTGGAACAATGTAGTCCAGATTTGAAGCTGTAGGTATAGTGGATTTTGATCTGGACCTGATTTAATGTGGTCTACATGTTAAAAAAAATATAAATAGACTTTTTTTCATTTCCACAAATACAATAAAGGTTTCACAAATCTGAAACTCAAAATCAAGAAACTTCAGCCTCTTGTAGTCCAGGTTTAACAGCTCTAGCGGATAGTGGTTTGGGATCTGGACTCGAGTTTCCCTGAACTTTCCGGTTAACTGCCGAATCGGAAGCTGAGTGAAACGTACACGAACATATACAGGGTTATTGTTTAGTTTCTCTCACAGCTTTACTGAATCCTCGAAGACTCTCTGCTACACAATGAACTGACATTGATTAAGGTTCTCTGGTGCTTCATAAACTCGTTCCCGACTGGTCTTGATTTGATGGGTTTGGATCTCGTTTGGCTCACATCTTCCAAGAGTGAAGACATTTAAGCAGACAGTAATTCATAAGTAATTCAGCACATAACTGAGCTCTTAGAAGCGTCTGTAATATGAGCCGTCCACGAGAAGTCCTCACAGAGCGCTGTGGCTTCTGTCTTGCAGCACAGTTTGACTCAGTTAGCTGACATGTGCATTTGAGACGGTCATTTTTGTTTCTAAAGGGCCGACGCAGGCTCCGCTCAGAGCCACAGCGGAAACACGGCGTCCATGCTGCGAGGTCATCGAGCAGCAGTGCGATTGACGCGTGACGTCGTTGATCCTGGTTCAGCTTTTATGCTGGATGAACCTGCTTTGTGTTGAATGGGGCTTTTTTTCGCGATTATGATTCGATTTCCGATTTATTTAAATTTTTTCTAAAATTTAGCTGAAGTTCAGTATTCACTGCCAGCCTATTTTTGACGGAAACTGCGTCAAGCAGCACAGATGAACTAGGGACACAGAACGGCATAGAGAATCTGGTTGATTTTCAAAATAAAATGTCCTGTGTAGACTCTCGATCGTCCGGCGACCCGACCCTGGATAAGCGTATGAAGACGGACGGACGGACTCTCGATCGTATCTTAACAATAAAACAGACAAAAAAGAAACAATTTAACTACATAGCTACTTAAACATGGTAGAAGCACAAAAAGCAAAGACAACTGAACAAATTAACAAAATCTGAACAAGTCAGCAAAATGAGACGGGCAAAACGCTCTTATTCTGAAAATCTCCATGTGGATATGTAACGTTAGCCCTACAGAGAGCTGGTATCTGTAGTTTAAGCACACAAAATGACAAATTAACAACACGTCAACAACGTGCAGGCTAAACGCTCCGCTGCTGAAACACGTCAGTGTGAGTTGACGCCGGACAAAACCGCGCGCCTGTAGCTTGATTTATACTCCTGCGTAGGGTCTACGGTGTAGCTACGCACGGCATTTATACTTGTGTGTCGGTGTCTCCGTCATTCTGTAGTTACACCCCCGAACGCTAGTTGCCGGTAACGCTAGTTGCCGGTAGCGCCAAACTAGCGTCCACTGTGTTGACTTTTGCTGGGCGAGCAGGCTAACTTCCGGTTTAGCGCTCCGCGGCTTGTGTAGCTTTTTCAAATGTTCTCGAACGAGTGGATCAGATTCTGACAGTGAAACAAGTCATTTCGCTCGGGTTGTGACGGTGAAATATATTGATCCACCGTGTTACAGCCGCTATTTTGGCCGCTAGAAGTTACTTCAAAGTACGGAGCACTTCCTGTCGGCTCGGAGGCGTTGCGAAGCTACACAGCTGATGTCAGGGGAAATAATTCCTTCCCAAAGAATACGGAGTCAAATAGATGTGTTGAATCATTCTTTATGTAACGTGGCCACGGCGAGAACGCACGGTTACTCTCCCGAACGCCGCATTTCCTCTCCTTAAGTACAGAACAAGTACAAAGCAAACAACCGCCAACAAGTGGTAGATGAAGGATAAACAAATGGCAGACTCTTGCTTGCGTTGCGTCCTCTGCTGCCGTCCGTTGTGATTAAGTCTGATCGAAAAATAATCTGCAATTGCAATTTTTTAAACCAGATATTGAGATTTAGTATGTGATTATTTTTTAAGCTCTTTATCGTATTCAAAAAAGTCGAGCACCAAATCGCTGCATGATTTGACCGACATAATATTAGATAGATTAAACTGGAAAATGATTAAATGTTTGGTAGTTTTGAACAGAGGAGAAGTTGTTAAAGTGATTTATGAAAAAATAAAAGCAGAAAAAAAGATTGGAGGATTTTATAGCAGTTTATTTGTGCGTGTTCATTAGTATTTGACACTACATAAAAAATACTAATGCAATCAAATCAATTTTGTTGGTAATCTTTGACATATCCAAGACTCTAATCACCACCAAAGTCCCATCTTTCTACTGTTTATTTTATGGAAAATAATTCACTTTTTGTGTGTTTTTTTTTTGCAAGAAATAATGAAATAATTAAAATAAATAAACTGGCATATAAAGGGTTAAAATCAGGAAAATTATTAAATGTGGTCGTTTCGAGCAGAGGAGAAGTTGTTTAAGTGATTTAAGAAAAAAAGCAGAAAAATATATTGATGTTTAAGGATTTTATAGCAGTTTGTTTGTGTGTGTACAGTTTTGCCATTAAGGTGGGCAAAATGTGAGGAGGTCATAAGGGTTCAGATGAAATCGGGTGTTCAGCTTTTTAGCCGCGCAACTACACAACCACGTGGCACCAGTCTCCAGGAAAAACGCCTAAAATAACAAACCCTAAATAAATCAGTAATATCTCCTCAACCATCAGGCCTGGATGCATAATTCTGGTCTTTGAAAGGTCAGAAGCAAAAGGAACATAAATCCATTGTACATCAAGAAATTTATTTTACCATTACAGACTGAGATGCAATACAGAAAAAATATGATATTTTCATCCTTGGTTAAAAAAAAAAAAAGAAGCTATATTTTAATGCAGTAAACCATCAAAAGGTAAATTATAATGCACCTGAATATCTTCTAATCTACCTGGAATACAGCTGTAACTGTAAATCTGATGAAAAGAAACTGATATACAACAGTTATTACACAATCTTTCAAAACTATACCAGGCGAATGTTTTGGCCATATTTACTGTTTATATGTTCACTTTTATTGGGAGTTTTCTTCAAAACATTATTTCTCTCCACACAACCACGTTCCAAATAACATAAAGCTTCCAAAACATTGAAATATTGATAAAAACAGTCAGTATTCCTCCCATGCTTTACAGGCCACAGTTTGATCCTGCAGGGCTCTTTCTCTTCGTATTGATATCCTGCACGTCTGTGTAGCTCCTACGGGATTAAGACCGCCTCCGCCAAAGCGAACTCTTCTTCTCTACTTCAATCTGAAGACAGAAACGAAACTTATCGGCTCAGCTGACAGAAAACTGCTAGAACAGCGAAAATCGATTACCGGCACCAAGAGGTTAAGAAGCTGAAACAGTTAGTATTTTTGGGGTGGCGATGGACCAGTGGATAAGACACATGTATTTGGTGTGAGAGACCCGGGTTCAATCCCCCACTGTGACACATCCACCATTGTGTCCCTGAGCAAGACACTTAACCCCTCGTTGCTCCAGAGGCGTGCGACCTCTGACATGTACAGCAGCTGTAAGTCGCTTTGGATAAAATCGTCGGCTAAATGAATGTAAATGTTTCCGGTGAGGTGACGTTAGCAACGATAGAAAAGCAGGTTTTGTCCTTTACCTGACACTGTACAGCATCTTCTTATCTCATCTTTTTAAAGGCTAAACAGTCCCACAAACTGACGCACTGTTCCCGTTGGACACTAAAGTCTCTGCAGTGTTGGATATAGCGTGGGTGCGGCCGCCGCAGGGCCCCGGCTGGTAGGGGGCCCCGTACGTGGGCCATATAGTTTAGGACAGTACAGTTTAGCTCAATTGACGTGGACGCAGACGTCACAGCGGCTCTTATCAAATGAAACCGTCTCTTCACTCCTGGTTTCAACAGCAAACCACCACAAGAACGACAATCACCAACAAACACACTGTATTCTAAGGAGACACGTTTTAATACACGTAAGTCATAAAGTAACATTTCTGTTTCAAACTTATTAGCACATTTTAACAAAACTCCCTTCCCCTTTATTTACGGCGTCAAAGTCCACTGGAGCGAGCAGCCAACACGTTTAGATTTTGTCGATTTGGTGATTAGTCATAGGTGTCTTCTACACTGGGGACGCTGGGGACATGTCCCCACCACTTCTTGAAAGCATTTGCTAAAAGTTTTCTGAAAATTAGCTTGCAACAAGTTAAATGTTAAATAACAAATAAAAATTCTATGAGAAGTTTACCTGCACAACAGGAACAGGAAAAAGTAACTTAGGCTAAAAAAACCAAGCTGCTGATTACTGTATTATTATTATTATTAGTATTATTATATTTGATATCTTTATATTCTGAATTGTCACATGAATTTTGTTTCCCTTCATATAAATAAAGACATTTCCACCATAAATTTGTGCAGAAAATGTCTCTATACTGAGTTTAATGCTCAAAATCTTCTGGGGAGGAGCCCCAGAGCCGCCCGTCGAATAGCCTACTTCATCAATGAATATTTCCTATAAAGGGCGTTGGAGTGTCTTTGTCTTGTTCTCGTTACTCCAATATTGTGCAATAAAACGTCTCGTGTTTCACCTAATCTTTAAATGTCCCCACCACTTTTCAACACAAAATGAGGCCCTTGTGATTAGTGCTTGCTTTTTGTGCTTCTACTATGATTAAATAGCTACGTAGTTAAATTGTTTCTTTTTTGTCTGTTCTAACTGCGTTTATTGTTGATAAACGATCGGAAGTCTGTACCGGGTATTTTATTTTGAAAACTGACCAGATTCTGTGTCTGACTTCCTGCCCGGTTCATCTGCGCCGTGCTGCTTGAAGTTAAGACTTCACAGCCTCTCTTCATACTAAAGAGACAAACTGACAGGATAAAGTCTCTAACCTGCCTGTCAGCTCACTCTGGGCCGCTTCACTTACCGTAAAGGCTGGAATACGCGTGCACCCCGAATGTAGGCGCGGCTAGTTTCATCGCCTTCTCACAGACGAGAGACAGAAACACTCACAGGTCTTTTCTAAGAAGTCAGTCACAGATGGAGCAGATGTGCTGGAAACAGTTCAGCAGAACACTTTAAAATGCTTCCACACTGCCAACGTGTCACAATTGTTGGGTAAAATTTCTTCGGTCCTTATTAGGCCGAACACTGAAAGTAAACTATTTTCGGCCGACTAATTTCGGTGGGTGTTTTCTAACCCGAGTTGTTCGGTTGAATCGGCTCGTTCTCCCTCTAGGTGGGATTCGTTTGGGCAGAGCTGAACACAGCAAAGTGGTCTCAGTTCGCAAACGAATGGTTAATTTGAACGTGATCTGACCCGACCACAAGGCGGGTTTGGACTGAGCGGCTCTGTAAAACACAATCCTGCTGATTTTATACATCTCAGCCCTCTGCAGATGGATTTTTGTAGAAGAATAAGTCAAAGCAATGGCTGCCTGGAAGGAAGAAAATCAAAGTAAAAGCACGTGGGTCATTAGGGGAAAGAATCAGCAGCGATGTGAAGCTAACGGATTAAACCCGTCAAACAGGCCTCCTCATTTAGACGTCTGTACTGTACCTTTTAATTGATCTTTTTTTGCACAGAGTTGTAGTTGTAATGGATAATTGTACTGGTGAAGGTCAGTTCCCACAGCAGCAGGAAGGACAAAGAGGGAACTCACTAAACGACTATCCTGAACGGGGTCGGTCTGAAACCACCAAACAGTTTCGGTCCACTGCAGCACAGGAATGCACTCATCCGCCAGGAAGTGTGTGTTGCTTTCACTTCACTTTTAGCTCAACAGAGCAGAAAAGCAGCCCAAGCTGATCCAGCACCAACTGTCAGGGGTGAACGCAATAACCTATCCAGTCTGATACAGTCCAGTCTCTTCATCCAGACCGTGCTGGACCTGAACAGACCGGGACAGAGAGGCCACAGTGACACGAGTACCTCCATCTAGCACCAAATGTCTGCTCCTAATGTTTTAGACTGTGTTTTATTCAGATAGCTGCTTTGGTTTTAGATCAAATTTGACAACTCTGGCTTCTTTTGTTGGATAAGAAAATGTGAGAAACGTGTGCATGCCGGCACTAGTTTAAAAAAATACAAGCGATACAGATAACTATTGCTGCCAGAAAGAGTAGGGCTGACGAACAGCAGAGAAAGCGCACACAGTCATCCTCACACCCAAACTACGACTCTGGGTTAGAACAGTACGAGGTGTATGAGGTGTGATCTGTCCAAGTCCAAAGGCGACAGCGCTGTTTATTCATGGTGTTGCAATTAGCTGTTCACACGAGAAAACACTGAAATAGTTGCTCCAAGATGAAGAAGCAGTGTCCAAATGGGGGGGGGGGATACTATGGGGGTTAATATTCGCCTCGCTTTACTTGTGCAGGTTTGACCGCTGGACATTTTGAATGTTCACACACACAACGTGATAAGTGATAAACACAACCTGCGAATCCTCCAGCTGTATGAACCCAACGTAAACATTTTGCTGTGATTTAATTGCAATAAACGGATCAAACTGATGCTGAAATAACGACAACATGATGCCGATTTGTTAAACATATGAATTCATGCTTTGTCAGGTCTGTCAGCAGGACGACAACTTTTAAAATGTTTGTTTTCTGAATGGAGTTTGGTTCGATCAGGGCTATGCTAACCTGTTCACAGTAAAGTACAACGACAGCTGGAATAAAGTTACAGACACATATTTTCTGAACTCACCAGGTAGTTCAACCTCCTCGCTTTCTTTTCTCCAAGTAATGTCCAGTTTTCAGGTTTTTATATAAATATGAAGTAGTAGTCCAGCAGAGCTCTGACGCAAACAACAACAACAACAACAACAGTGGAACCTGATGTGAACGGAAGCTGCTGAGAAGCTCCAGTGAAGATAAATCAAGTTTTAATCCCAAAAACTAAAGTAAAAAGCTAATTTAATAAAAGCAGTTGACTCTGAGCTCCTCCTGCGGGTAAACGGCGTAGCTGTCAGAGCAGAATCCAGACCGACTACGGGGGTTTATTTGTCCGAAAGCTGCTGCTGCTCCCGCCTCTTTCTCCCCGTTCTTTAGCAGCTCTCCGTCGGCCAGCGGATTGTCATTACACTGCTCGCCAGGTCCTCTCCAAACAACGCTCCGAAGCCGCCGGTGACGCTCACCGCTGATGGGCTTTCGCAACATCGTATTAAGCGAATTTCTCACCAGTGTTGAAAAATTGGAACTCGCATGAACCAGCGGATGTCGCGACAAACGCCTCTTTCACGCCGCCTGGAGCGAATTTGCAGGAATCAAGCCGCCCAAAACGCTGGATTCACTTTCTGTGTGAACGCACCTTTACTGCTGAATCATTAATAGCTGCAGCACGTTTGTCTCATTATCCTATTATTATTATATGTAGCCATTTTGCTAGAATTACGCTTCACACAACAGCTGTTTGCTACCTGACCTTTCTTTTCTCCGTGAGATGGAAGAATTTAGAAAGTTGCGTGCCGCTGCAGAGAGACCCAGGCTGCAGTAGTGCAGGGATGCAGCGTAATATTCTTCCAGCCAGAGGGAACGATCATGAACCGTTCACAGCGCGTCGGTCGTAGTAGCGACACAACCCGTACCGGAGAGGGAGCGGGGCGGAGCAGGGCCAGGAGATCGTGGAGCGACCGGCCCGCTGCTGACGGTCGGTGATCGTTCCCTCTGGCTGGATGAAGTCTGACGCTCCTGATTTTACGCAGGGATCCGTGATGAGACCCCCCCCCCCCCAAAATATCACATATTATGCTTTTAGGGGAGCTCGTAGTTCGCACCCTGTGAAGACGGTTTACTTTCTCAGCTGCGCAAAGTGTCTGTGTTTAATGGACGTGCCATTTTCAGAAAGTTAGAAAAGTTGTTGGTCACAGATCCTCCGATTGTGATGTTGGACGTGCGGGTGGAGGAGGCTTCAGACTGATGCGCAAACAAGAGGTGGTTACACGACGAGAAAAAGTCGCGTGCTCTGGTGTGCCTGGATATGCTACAATTCTTTAACTCGTCCTGTTTTTCCTCCTCTGTCTCCAGGAATGGTCCAGAAGTTGGACCAGAAGCTCCCGGTAGCCAACGAGTACCTCCTCCTGTCTGGAGGCGTTCGGGAGGGTGTCGTGGACATGGACCTGGACGAGCTGAGTGTTTACGCCCGCGGCACTGACTACGACATGGACTTCACCCTGCTGGTCCCGGCGCTCAAACTTCACGACCGCAACCAGCCGGTGACCCTGGATATGAGGCACTCGGCCCTGGGCCACTCCTGGCTCAGCCTCCGCCTCTTCGACGAAGGAACAATCAACAAGTGGAAGGACTGCTGCACCATCGTCGACCACATCAGCGGGACCACCAACTACTTCTTCTCCCCGACACTGGTGGCCGACTGGTTCTACCAGTCCATCTCCCTGGTGCTGCTGGAGGTGCAGAAGAAGCCGCAGAGAGGGATGCCGAGAGTTGAGAAGGTGGAGAGGAACGGCACCATCATCTCCGTCATCCTGGGCGTCGGGAGCAGCCGGATGCTCTACGACATCGTGCCGGTGGTGTCGTTTAAAGGCTGGCCGGCTGTTGCTCAGAGCTGGCTGATGGAGAACCACTTCTGGGATGGGAAGATCACGGAGGAGGAGGTGATCAGCGGCTTCTACCTCGTCCCCGCCTGCTCTCACAAAGGCCGCAAGGAGAACGAGTGGCGCCTGTCGTTCGCCCGCAGCGAGGTGCAGCTGAAGAAGTGCATCTCGTCCAGCCTGATGCAGGCGTACCAGGCCTGCAAAGCCATCATCATCAAGCTGCTGTCCCGCCCCAAAGCCATCAGCCCCTACCACCTCCGCAGCATCATGCTGTGGGCCTGCGACCGTCTCCCCTCCAACTACCTGGGGCAGGACGACTTCTCCGCCCACTTCCTGCTGGGCCTGATCGACGACCTGCAGCACTGCCTTGTCAACAAGATGTGTCCCAATTACTTCATTCCCCAGTGCAACATGTTGGAGCACCTGTCGGACGAGACCGCCATGCTGCACGCCCGCAAACTCTCCTCGGTGCGCTCCGACCCGGCCGAGCACCTCCGCACCACCATAGAGCACGCCAAGGCCGCCAACAGGCTGACGGTGGACCTGCAGTGGCGAGGCAGCGCCAACAACTTGCCATCGCCGCAGTCCGACGCCGGCGGAGAGAACCAGCCAGACGACCGGCTGGCCAAGAAGCTTCAGCAGCTGGTCACAGAGAATCCTGGGAAATCCATCTCAGTCTTCATCAACCCAGACGACGTCACGCGACCACACTTCCGCATCGACGACAAGTTCTTCTGAGACTCTGTCCCAGACCTCCTCCTCCTCCTCCTCTCTCTGCCTTCCTTCTCCTCGCCTGGTGCCCCGCCTCCTCTGAAACTTTGTTTTTTACATTTTTTATTGTGTTTTTCTGCCACAGAGTGAAGTGACGTACCCGTATAGTTGTGTCTGCCACAATTTGTTATTTTTTTATTTTTATTTTTCTATTCCCTCTCCCCTCTTCCCTCCTCTTTCACTGTGTGCCCTGTGTTTTTACCTGCTGAATGCCTTTTCAATAGACAACTGAATAGCAGCAGGTTGTTCCTAAAACTGAAGGATGAGACAAAAATCCACCTTAAGATGGAACTGCTGTTCCTAAGTTATGGTAGTGTAATTGTCAGGGATCCTGAAAACCTCACATAAGCTTGTTCAGAGAACATTTTGGGATCCCTGATCCCTGGTAGTAACCAGATAACATGAGGTAATACTTTCCACTTTATGAAACGATGCAATCACTGGGCGGTCATTGTCACTGAGAAATAAACACTCGTGTTATTAACTTTGCAAAAAATGACACTAAATATTCAGTAGAAAGATCAAAGAGCATCTTATAACAATAATAATATAATCTTATACTTGAAATTACTAATTTGTAATTAAGGACAAATCCTTATAATTATTACATACCCAGTCTGAGTTATGAGACGTTTCCTCATAATGAAAGAGCGTCTCAGAAAGTATTTCATAATTGTGACCTTGATAGAAAGTCTTTGAGACACTTCTCATACTGAGTCGGTATCTCCTGACTTATAGGTAACGAACGACATTTTCATAAATTAAAAGCTCTAGAATTAATCTCATGTTTCAGCTTTAGAATCTCAGGACATAATAAATCAAGATTAAGAGATTAAAAAACACGACACTAAAATGAAGACATGTTTTTTTTTTTTTTGTCTCTTTTGTGATTTAAAAACACTAACTTAAAAAACACTTTTCATAGTCACTTTGCTCTTGTAAACGTCTCTGCAACAGCACAGCGTCGTTCCCGATTTCACAGCAACCCTGGAACAGCAGCAAGGTTATTGAACAAGATTGTATGCTATAAATTCAGGAGTTGGGGATGCCAAATGGCACGAAGTCAGTCTCGAAGGTAACAGAGTTCTGTTTGAAGGTGGATTTTGTCCCTCTGAGGAATGTCGAGGTCCCGCTGGGGGATGATGGTACTAACGTCTTAGAAACTAACTGTAAATAGAAGAAAACTGACTGAACACTGCTGTGTGTTGGTAGAAAGAGATAAATAGACCGATGATGATTTGTGGACTACTTTTCGTCTAATTTTGCACAGAATGTAAAAAAAACACCACTTTTCCTCTCGATGGTGGACGTCGTGTTCGTCCCGATTCTGAGACGGTGTGTCATATCAGTAGACAGGTGCCACCGCTGAAGAATGGTCGTACTGCACGTTTTAAATGTGCATGTTAACCGGTGGAATAGCACCGAGTACACAGTGATACTGCAGTAATACTTCATCAAAGCCGGAGAGGATTCTGGTCCAAACATGCAGCTTGAGATGTTGATCTGACCACATTTCTCTTTTAAGACCCAGTAAAATTCATCTCAACGTGAGATTCCCACGGAGAGTCTGTGGATGGTGGACTGGGGACTAGTTTTTTTGAATCTGAGTTGATCTTACGCCTCCCTTGAGACGCGACACAATGCCGTTCGTTTTATAAATTGAACCTTAGAAAGACAAAGATAAACGTTGGGAAGGTTAAACTTTAATGCAAATGTCACTTGCTTGAAACAGATGCACAGTCTACTCGCACTACTCGCAACGAAAGAACTCTTAACGAGGCGCTATAAGAGAAAACAACTGATCACCTGTCTGCCCTAACATCGTATACGTTACTACATGTTTAGGAACTAAAATGTGATTCTCACCGGTAAAGCGAGAGAAGACTTAGTTTACACAACAAACGCCACCGTTGGTGAGTGTGGCTAAACTGACCGTGAGATGAGTCAGGATCAGGGAGGATTCCCACGGCCTCTAAACAATCATTAAAGAAATATTTTGATGGTGGAACAAACGCAGATATTAACTCCCTCCACATGTGCTGGGTAGTTACTAGGTCTGCAACAATTATTTTCTCTATTGATCGATCAGTTTTTAGGTCCAGAAAATTATGAAAAATATTGATCAGTGTTTCCAAAAGCCCAAGATGACGTCCTCAAATGTTTTCCTTGGTCCACAACCCAAAGATATTCAGGTTACTGTCAGATAGAAGAAACCAGAAAATATTCACATTGAGAAGCTAAAGTCGACCCTAAAAAAAACGATCCAAAGCGATTAATCCATTATCAAAAGAGTTACAACTAATCGATTAATCGACTAATCGTTGTAGCTTTAGTAGTCACTGTGCATTTCCCAAATAAAGCTCAAAGACTTCTCCAGTGTGCAGCATTGACATCCAAAAGCACTCGTTCTGATTCACTCTGGAAGCGTTTGCTTCACCAGAACAGGAATTTAAAACGTTAGAGAATAAACTTCTGCGTTACACGTTAATATCCAACAACCGCCAATCAGAGCTAGGCATGTGAGTTAACACGCCTGGAGGCTGCAGACTCGTGAGAGGAAAGACCTGCTGGTGTTGAACGTTTCTCTGCTGTGGACTTTAAACGCAGCATCACTGTGTACTTGCAGCTCCACAGTTTAAATCTCAGGTTAATCTGCTGCATTATGACCATTATCAGGTGAAGTGTCACAGAATATTCCTTTAGACATGATATCACTGGCATCTTCTTTCCACTTGTTCCTGTCTGTTTCTGTTGTTTTGATCGGTGAGCTCTGTTGCATCTGTACGACCTCGTGTGTTTGATTTTCTCTTCAGCTGCTTTCTTTGTGTTTTTTTGGTTGTCAAAGGGTTCAGCTCTCCTTCAGTTCGGCCAGCTCAGGATGCTAACTGAGCGTTACTCTTTCACCGTCAGACTTTATGTCAACAACATGAAGGACATGCACGGATACTCTGTAAGAGACGCGTTGCATGTCGTCCATTAGGCGACTCGGTTTCTCTGGTAAAGATGGAAGGACGCTGCGTTTTCTTTCATAGTTTTTACCACAGTTAATGTCATACAGAATGCAACCTGACCGATACTGGAGTTAAACAAATCGTTTTATTTGTTTTTATTTATACTTAACATAAACAACAACATTGATACTGATTCCATTGATTTGTTTTTCAAAATAAATGTGCAATAATCTTCTGTAACAATCTGCCAGCCGATATATTGCCCAGTTTATCGGACTATATTCTGTCTACAGAAACTAGTAGCATTAGTAACAGCAGGGCTTAAGGTTTGGATGCACACGATCAGTAATAAGATCCGTGTAACGCGTCCCTGCAGCTCAGGCAGAGCTGGTTTGATTACCCGAGGTAAAGTAAAGGAGCTATGATTTGAAGTCTCTGGTCCTGAACTGGGCGAGCTGAAAGTGAGATGATCCCAGTTTTTGTTTTCTGTCCCAAACATTTACCGATAAAATGCCAAAAACCTGCAGACATCTGCCCGACAGTGTGATCTCCATATCCTCATCCTCAAGTGCAATTAGTGAAAATACACACACATAAACACACACATACGTTGCGTAGCATTATGACAGAAAGACACTAAAACTCTGTTGAAACCGGTTTTAATGACGACACAAAGGCCGCATGACGCTAAACTGATTCCACAAACAAACACACACCATCAAAGTGCCGCACACACACACACCTGCTCCGTGGAAATGTAATCAATGTGTTCTTCTGAGCTCCGTGACCTTTGACCTTACTCTTCTCTCTGTTCAGAACCTTTTGACTGTGAGTTTTTATTTTCTCTGTATCTTGCTGCTCTGCTTTATTCTGATGATGGATTTCTTTATGCAATGTTGACTTGGACAGGTTCGCCCTTCAGACGGCAGCTCTTCCCCGACTGCGAAGGGTCTCCACTATAACTCACTGTACAGTAGAGCCGTCATGAAGTTTTTTAACCAGAGGCTCTTACATCCACTTTCACAGTCTGTTACTGTAAATCTTCTCTCCGCATAAACTCTTTATTTGCGCTATTAGTTGTAAATAAAGGCCAACTTATACTTCTGCAGCGAAACTACGCCCATTCAAGTTAGTGGAAGGCTAAACTGGAAGTTAGTCGGCTCAGTGGAACATAGAAACCCCACCGTCAACTAACACTTTGGCAGTGTAACTGCAGAGCAACGCAGACACCAACGCATGAGCATAAATGGTCATGATATGCATAGCGCTGAAGACTCAACGCATAAGTTTAAATTGGGCCGTTAATCAAACCTTCCAGCTTGTTGCCAAATGCTGTGATTTGACTCTTGTACATTAACTAAAGGACATATTGTTCGATTCCGTTATGTACATACTTTAAGTAACACAATACGTCTTTGGTGCGAGTGATTTGGTGAGAGAAGTAAACCTGGGTGTCATCTGCATAGTGATGATAAGCACTCTGTTATCCTGCAGGATTTGGCCTAGAGGCCCCAGAATCGAACCCTGGGGAACTCCTCTCAGATTTATGAGACAGCAAAGTGTCCCTGAGCATACAATCATTTGGAAACGTCTTTTCAACAGCTACTTAGACATTTAAGCAGGTTTAGAAGCACAACACGTCAGTGGTCAGCGATTCAAATCCACCTTTAGACATGCCATTCTGTGTTTGGGAATTGTTTCCACAGGTGATTAAAAAAATCTAATCCTGAAAAAGTCCAATAGACAACTGTGAAAGGTAAATTTCTGCAGAAGAAGAAGCTCTGTTGGGCGTTGGGAGGAGCTGCCACATGACCGGCTGCTGTCTGTCCAAACACAGTGACTTTATCTGTATGTAATGTGTAACTACTGTTGTAAATAACACTTGATAAATAACTCAAACTCCCGTCTGATGGTTGTCTGATCTGCTTTCAGTCCAGTTCATTCAGCACCAGGTCAGCTGATCTCAGCACAGATTGTTTTATCCCTGTGTTGGCTGGTTGGTCCAGCCCCGTCCTGTTGTTTCACCGTTTTTGCAGACCAATCATTTGGACCAAAAGTTATGTCCTCACTATCAGGGATCCAAACCAGTAGGTTCCCCTTTACTTCCAACAAAATTCAATGCGATCACAGTGTTGGTGTGATGTCATCTTTCGGTAAAAAGGACATGAGGATGATGTGTTCATGTTAAAGGGTAACTTTGGTATTTTCAATTCACAAGTGTCTGACAACATGACCTTTCTCTTAGAGAGTAATATCCTTTTTGTTTTCCAACGAAGGTTGAGGGCAAGGGCAGCTGGACTTGGTTGAAGATACTAGAAGACGTTTCGTCCCTCATCCAACAGACTTCTTCAGTTCTGACTGCCTGGTTGGGGAAACTCAGCTATTTAACCTCTGGGATCGTTAGCCAGGATCGCCGATACCGCTGGTTCGTTAGTGCTCCTGGCTGTGGTAATGACAGTTGTCATGGTCGTTGGAGCCACCTGAGGCCAAGACTGAACGACCATCGTTGGTATCTTCACCTGAGGCCAATGGGTTACGTTTGTTGAGTTTCCTGGGAAGTGATGAAAGGACAGCATTGTAAGTGGGGGATAAGTGGTGGCGTAGACCCCCTCCCCTGTTCAATGACGGCTTCTCCACCCTGGTGTAGATGCTTCCTTGACACCTCTTTCAAACCATCCATCTTCTCTGTCTAAAATGTGCACCTGCTGGTCCTCAAACGAGTGTCCTCTGTCCTTCAGATGTAAGTAGACTGCAGAGTCTTGACCTGAGGAGTTGGCCCTTCTGTGTTGAGCCATGCGTTTGTGTCGTGGTTGTTTAGTCTCTCCAATATACAGGTCTGTGCATTCCTCACTGCATTGATGGATGGATAACTATGACCGGGATGACTGAGAACCTTCACAAACATCTTTTTGTTTAACCAGAAACAGTCTCTGTATTGCCAGACTCCATTGACAAAAACAGTAATCTTTACTCTGGTTTTCCTCTTCCTCGATCGGTTAGTAGGTTCCGTAACTGTGACTTTGGTGTTTTTAACACAATAACCACATGCAAGGGAAAATTAAGTTTTTTATCAATAGTGTGGTGTCTTTAACCCTTTAATCTGAGATAGTCTGAGGTTTTTTGTTGTTGTTTTTTCTTCCTACGGTGGCCCTAAAAGCTATGTTAGACTTCATCTGGACAGAAATAAAATCGGCTACATTCTTTCTTTTGGCCACCAGGAGGCACAACAAATCAAAACGTGCTGTAAACTCAACATCTGCTGATGCTAAAATGTTAGAGAGACATCAGCCTCCCAAAGCAGCGGGAATCTGCTCCTCTTTTGTTTCCTCTTTCCCTCTCCATGTCTCCTTTCTTGTTTCCACTCCTTGCCTCCTCTCCTCCCCTGTGGCCTTGCCCTGCTTCCTGTTGTCTCAGCACCTGCCTCTCCTCTTCTGTTTCCTCCTCCTCCTCCACCTTCTCTCCGTTTCCTGCTGCGTTCTGGTTCTGCTCGCGCTCAGTTCTTCTTCCTCGTTGTCATCAGTACCGCCGCTGAACCAGTAACCATCCATCCGCCTCCCAGTAGAAACACAACATGCTGCTTGTGCTGCAGGTGACCAATGAGAGCTGGACTCACCGATGATGTCAAATCACTCCGTATCGATCAATAATAATAATGTCATCTAAGTGCTTCTAGTTGGTTAAAATGAGCTGCAGCTCTACAGCAGCAACATCCTGCTCTATAATGATGAGGAAGAAGAATCTGAGGAGATATATACAGGAACATTTAACTGCTTCAATACTTTCAGGACATTTTACTCACGTACTTTTACCGGAGGAACATTTTCACTGCAGGACTTTCAGTAGTAAAAGAGTATCTGAGCACAATAAAATACAACAAAACTACACCCAGCCTCAGTGAACACAGCCTGGCCACAGACAGCTGGCTACCAGAAGACGAGAGACTCGGCGGACCGGTAGAGACAGAGCTACACAAACGTTTCCCAAATAAATCCTGAATTTCATTTTAAACGAGATACACGAACTCCTACTTACTGGGAGAACATGTATCTCCTCACGCCACAAACCGAGAACAGCCAGAGGGAACACGGACAGAGATAGAAAAATAAATCGTTCTTCATATAAAATGACTTTCATGCATGAATTACTAAATTACAAAGTAATTAAGTGCCTCTAACCCCCCCCCCCCCCCCAATATATTTAATTTTGAGATGTGTCCTCTGCAGAAAGTAATTCAGTGGAACTCAGTACAGGTCCAAAAACTATGTTTTTTAAACATTTACTAAAATCAAGTTATAGTATAACTTAAATGGCTTCCAAATATCTGTCTGCTGTAGTGGACGTCACGCATGGGTTAATAATTGCTCCTTGGAAAAATGCTACTGCGTGTCAGAAAGCAAGAAATATTTGTTTAAACAATAACTTTTAGTTAGTTTTTTCCTTTTTTAAATTTTATTGTTTATATATCAATACATATGTATGTGTATATATGGAGGCTCCTCCTCCTCATCACTTTTCCCCCCCTTAAATCTTTATTGCATAAAAAAGGGGGAATAAAGAGTACATGGGAAATACAAAAGTATACAAAACAGTACACAAATGTACAAAAGGACGCAAATAATAATAAAAAATGGGCAGTTTATAATATATAAAGATTTTAAAAAAGGACCATGTGTTGACAGTTTTCAGCCTTTTTGTTTATTGGATTTAGAAATTAAAAACTTCATGCAGAAAAACTACAAAGTTACGTTTTTTTACTGCTGAATTTACATTTATTAATGTTGAATTTTGCCATTAGAATTAATACATTTATTGTAAAGTTCTTATTTTCTTTTCTTTGACTTTTATAAAAGCAAAATAACCACATTCTCCCACATCAACATATGGTCAAAGATGAATCAGCTGAATGTTCTGGTGTTTGGTCTTCACAGAAACGACAGTTTGTATTGATGTTGGAAATGTGACCATGTAGTGATTAACAAGGTAAATCTGTGAATCCTCCTTTACTTTGTTCTCAATCATCCAGACTTTTATTTCCAGTCAATGTCATTTACAAACAAGGCACGAATGCTCTTATTATTTCTCGGATGTGGAGAGGAACAGACTGGGGAGGGAGGCAGAAGGAGCCTGTGTTTCTAAAAAGCTTTATTGTTCCTGAAGAAATGCAGTCAAATATAGGCTGCTTAGCTGAGATATTGTGTGTTAATAAAAAGTCTGTATGAGAGAGCAGTCGCCTCTCTCCATTAAATAGCTGCTTCACCAGCAGAATCTGATTCTGTATCCAATTCTCAGAATGAATAAATAAATAAAAGCGAATTGTTTTTATATAAAATGTCTCTGTCGTCCCGCAGAAGATACCTGTGAGGTGAGAAACAGTGTTTAGAAATGAGAGACCAGCTAAAAGGGCCTGAATCATCATCATCATCATCATCATCATCATCATCATCATCTTCATCATGACACCTTAAAAACTCCTCCAGCGGTGACGTCACGTGAGCCGCAGCAACACGAGAGAGAGAGAGAGAGAGAGAGAGAGAGAGAGAGAGAGAGCGAGCAGCGCGCGCGGACGCAGCACAGGTGAACGCACGAGCCTGAACGTCCGCAGGAAAAAAAAAAACAGCGAGGAAGAAGAAGGAAACCGCGCTGCCAGGAGGGTTTTACAGAAAACACCGCGGTTTGTTCTGCTTTTATCTGCACGGGTTGGTTCCTCCTCCTCCTCCTCCTGCTCTTCCTCCTGCTCTCTCTCCCGCCGGCATCGATCCATCAGCTTCTGATTACAGATCAGATTTTCTCTGGCTCGACGCTTGTTGACTCCACACAGCTGATTCGGGAAGGAAGGAAGAAAGGAAAGTACGCAGGTGGATTTCTGACGGAAGCGAAAGGGACCACCGAACCGAACCGAACCACACCGGGAGATGGAGGGCAAAGAGAAAACACCGGCAGGTAGGACACTGAAGGAGGGGTGGATGCTGAAGGAGGGATGCTGAAGGAGGGGTGGATGCTGAAGGAGGGGTGGATGGAAGTTTCCTGACGCTGGAGGGACGGATGGGAGGAAGTTGGTGCGTTTGGGGTGGAGATGCTGATGGGATGGAGGGACGGGTGATGGAGGGACGGTTGATGGAGGGACGGGTGATGCATGTTGGGTACTGCGGTATCCTGACTGCAGCTGCACGGAGCGGTTAGGTGTGGTTATTATGGGATGGGGTGCAGAGACACAGAGTGTTTGTTTTTACGCTGAGAGAAACCTGATGCAGCAAAAACACAGAGAGAGAAAGACAGATGGACTGAGGGACAGACAGGTGGGCTGAGGGACAGACAGGTGGGCTGAGGGATGGAGAGCAGGCCGGAAACAAAGACGGAGTGTCGCATGCAGACAGGTGAGAGCGTAAATAGATAACAAGAAGGCGTGAGACTGAGAAAAGATGGACAGGAGGTCAGAGAGACAGACGAGAGAGAGCTTTAAGATGGACAGGAGGTCAGAGAGACATACGGGAGGTCAGAGAGACAGACGAGAGGTCAGAGAGACAGACGAGAGAGAGCTTTAAGATGGACGGGAGGTCAGAGAGACATACGGGAGGTCAGAGAGACAGACGAGAGGTCAGAGAGACAGACGAGAGAGAGCTTTAAGATGGACGGGAGGTCAGAGAGACAGACAAGAGGTCAGAGAGACAGACGAGAGGTCAGAGAGACAGACGAGAGAGAGCTTTAAGATGGACAGGAGGTCAGAGAGACAGATGAGAGGTCAGAGAGACAGACAAGAGAGAGCTTTAAGATGGACGGGAGGTCAGAGAAACATACGGGAGGTCAGAGAGACAGACGGGAGGTCAGAGAGACAGACGAGAGAGAGCTTTAAGATGGACGGGAGGTCAGAGAGACATACGGGAGGTCAGAGAGACAGACGAGAGG